CGACTAATGGAGACGGAGACTTTGTACAAAAGTCGATTGCTTGGGTACCTCTGTCCCATTCGTGTTTTTACCGTGAAGCAGCTGTGTTTTTATGGCTGTGTTTCGGTTTGAAGGGTGCGATATGGCGTGAATTTACTGGGTACAGAGGAATAACACCTGAGTCCTCAGGAATGGCAACGCATGGGGGATATCATGGGCGAAACAGTATACTCTGTTATATCCATGGAATTGCTCATGTCTATAGGCGACGGTTACCACTTACCATAAGGTGGGCCGTCAGCTTGTTTGCCATTCTAAGTTGTATAAAAAAAAACTTAATAGTCGAAGGACGGGCAGCAGTGTCCCTCTTAAAACATCACCAAAGCCTAACTGCGGTTGCGAACCCGCCTGCCAAGCGTGGCAACTACTGCTAAAACCCCCCCTATGGGGGAGACCTATGTTCAACAGCATACAGTTAACGGCTGATAAAATAATAATATAAAAATGTGCTAAATTGGCATATAACACCTAACCTTGTAACCAATTTCATTTAAATTCATCCAGTGGTTTTTGCGTGAAAGAGTAACAAACATTCATCAATCCATCGTTTCGTTATAAACAATCGCATTAATAGGTTATATAGAATAACCGATATAACATATCTGTTATTAAATCACTAAATAGATATCGTAACCACAGTATATAGATATTGGTCTATTACCCATTCCTAATACTCAAGTAATTGGGGGGAAAGGGATTGTTAGTAATGGAGACTGAGAATCCCATTGCTAACAATATACCCAACCAGGTCGACCTCCTCGCGGTTCTCCTTGGAAACTATCATGGTTAATTCCCGATGAATTTATCATGATGGGCTAACTGACCTGCTTTCATTCTCATTTATCACCGTTCACTGGTGCTCCGCCAGCGTATCCCGTTAGCGCAGGCGGGGTTACCATACCATTTTCACCCATCGAAAAAAAAAATACTCAAGTAAACAAGCTAGGTAGTTCCTATCTTATTCTATGTACACATATGAAAAACTATGACGAATTGATAAGCAAACACCTAGGCATTTTATCATTATCATGTATAACATTTAGATACGACAATACGTGTAAATATACACGATTATAATAATAACTATTACGGACATGTAGCCCTCATGCGTTGCACACACCAGAGGATTAAGATTTTATTTTATATAACAGAGAGGACAAAGAGCATACAGCTCACTTGATGGCAAATGACTAGCACCGCCCATGAGCACCCATGTGCTGCCAGCCTTTTAAAAAGGAATATGCTCTTTTCTTAAAGGTTACGATAGGTGAAAATAGAATGGTAACCCTGCTTGCGCTATCAGTACACGCTAGCAGGGCACCAGTGAGGATGAAAGCAGGTCAGTTATAAGTCAAAAATTCGTCAGGAAATAACCACGACGGTTTCCAGAGGGAACTTGCACTAATAGGGTATTACTCACAATGGGGAATAAGATTTTATACCTCCGTACCCTGTAATTTTACTGCAATATCCCAACTTTCAAACAGAAATACAACCATGCCAGGACAACTTTTTTTTTTTTTATACAACTTAGAATGGCAAACAAGCTGACGGCCCACCTGATGGAAAGTGGTAACCGTCGTCTATAGACATGAGCAGTACCATGGACATAACAGAGTATACTGTTTCGCCCATGATACCCTCCATGCGTTGCCATTCCTGAGGACTCAGGTGTTATTCCTCTGTACCCAGTAAATTTACGCCATATCCCACCCTTCAAACCGAAACACAGCCATGCAAACACAACTGCTTCACGGTTGAAACACGATTGGGACAGAGGTACCCAAGCAATCGACTTTTGTGCAAAGTCTACTCTGGTATACTCCTCAGCGGCATAAACACAAGTGGGACAGAAACTCTCATGCAGAGTTTTTTTTTTTAATTAATTGTATGTTTTTCTTTATTTTTTAATGAAAGATATATTTAACTAAACTATAAAAAAACTTAGCTTTTACCCATGACCTCGTCCGCGTGACTAGTATATGTTTAATGGCCGGCATAAAAGTAGCCTATATCTTACTCCAACCCATGTAGTAGATGTATACGAAAATTCACAGCGATTGGTACGACGAACAAACTCACTTTCACATTTATAATACTAGTAAAAATATAAAACAGTGACAAATAAAGAACAATTAAATTGTAATATAAGTATTTTTAATTGACCCGAGAATCTCCTTTCATCAAAATCTTTATGCACGTATTTTTTTTTTTTCTATTCTACCGTCAAATAGATATGTACAGCCAAAAGTTGGCAAGAATCTTAACTGTTTTTACAAAAATATTGAATACGTGTGAAATATTGAATATTGAATCTCGTGTTTTTTAATCTTAAATTGCGCAGTTTTTACTGTAATAATAGTCCAGAATAGTAATACTCATTTATATAACTTTTCTAAACGCTACTTCGAAATGGTAAGCTTGTCTAGTATTGCGTTTGTTTGTAACGCTATTTTTAAGAAAAAAATTAATCTTCATTCATAATAAATAAATAATAACACTAACTGTATCTCGCGACTTTGTACGTAATCGTATCGTGACATTTAATAGTTTCATCAAGGAATGTTCTATAAAATGCAAAAACAATTTTTGAAATCTGATAGTCGACTGATAGTTCCGTTTGTTTGAGATTCGATTAGTTGAGATTAGCGCATTCAAATATACAAAAAGAGCTCTTGCACTTTATTGTATCTACAAGTACAAATATATATGTATTTATTTCAGTTTCAATAATCTAAAAATCACTATAATCATCATCATCATCATAGTATCACTAAAAATCAATTTGTCTATATTTTTACCAAATTCATTTTGAGTTTTTGGTAACGTACACTACGCGATAGCTTTGCCATTTCTTGTACAATTTTGATAACTAATTTCATTCATATATAATAATGTCCATAAATTATATTAATTTTAATGTATTTGGTGTTATCTTTTTGTGATAAAAAATTATTACTACCATAAATAAATTTTAAAGTTGTTAAGATTTTAAATAGTTTATTCACAAAGTATTATATATTTATGTTCACCACCATGTAATCCAATCGATTACTTTTTTATGTAGTATTGATTACACCTAAATCGATCAAATGAGTTAAAATTGACACAAACACATATAATTTGTAAAAATAAAATCGATACAAATCAGTCACATTAATTAAAGTTTTTCCTCAATTATTATTTGTGGAAAAAAACTCAGTAAAAAATTTGTGACGAAACACTATGACGGTTGCAGTCGAAATAAAATATTTGTCGAAAGCGACAAACATAAATCGTTATACACACACACACACACACACACACACACACACACACACACACACACACACACACACACACACACACACACACACACACACACACACACACACACACACACACACACACATATATAAATTATAAAAATAAGCATAAATTTTAAATACTTATAATAACAAACTCAATTTGATAAATGAATACAATTTCGCTAACAATCTCCGTACATTACAATCACTAAACAAATTTCTGTAATAAAATTTGGTACACTGAATAAATAAATAAATAATTTATACGCAGAATGACGAGGAGAAAAGTCGCGAAGAATAACTAGTTACTTATACGAGTAGGTACCTCATGATAATTAATCAGTGACTACCATACAATAATACCCATTGCTTTCTCGAAATATTCCCAGTAGTTACTTGACCAGGATAATTGGACGAACAATCCAGAAGCCAAATCAATTTAGATTTTTTTATATTACCTCAACGAGAAATCGTACCCGACAATAAAAAAACGCAAATCTTTATATTGCAACTGCAACATAAAGGCAAATTATACGAGTATAATGTATTTACTTATTTTTATGATGCAACGAATCAGTAAATTACAGACTGTAAGGTAATGGCGTTAATAAGAGATTGTAAAAAATTATAATATGACTTCTATCATTATAGATATTAAGGTATTTATTAGTTCAACTCGATTTTAAAATATTGTTTGATACATTATACGTATCTACCTCCCTATTTACGTATTCTCTTAAGTTTTAAACTTTCTTTTCAGTGATATATTTTTAAACTAATGTATATTTTATTTGAAAATTTAACATAGATCTAACATTTAATTTTAATTAACTAAAACAAAAACAGTATAATGTCGGTATCATATTGAATTATAAACCGTACGGTATTTTTTTAGTAAAAGGGGGCAAACGAGTTTGCGTTCACTCTGTTAGATTTATAAATTTGTTAAAAATATTCCATAATAGTTGTTATTCAAATTTTTTCTAACAAATAAACAGTGTCATAGTAATAATCATAATATTTTTGTTATCGTTAACAGCTTATTTCAACATTAGATTTGTAATATTCCATTAATAATAGTATTAATTTCAATTTCATTTAAAGACAAAATGTAAAAAAATATAATTATTTGTAAAATTATCGAAGATATTATCGAGATACTAATCGTGATTATGATCAGTGCATGTTCAAAATGTGTTTTCAAAATTATCATTTACGCGGCTACGTGATATATTTGTACCTACTTGATACTCGATTCATTGAGAAAACAATTAACAAAATAACACTTTACTCAAACTAGTAAAGGAGTACCTTTGTTACGATAATATACAAAAATTCATAATTAACTATCGTGCATTTGAACAAATAAAAATTTACCAATGCCACATAATGCAGTGCAATACTAAGCAAGATCACAAGGAAGCGAGCTCGCATGTCGTATCGTACTCACGAAGGGCATCGTTGATTGTGGCCGCTGAAAACTATTGGGAAATGAAACGTACTGGGTCCAACAGGGAGGTCTCGGCGCCAAAACAGCAACACTCACACACCGTTAAGTAGCACTGGTCACCCGTCTCTTCGAAGGTCATGGCGCGCGCGCATCGCACGAAGAGCCTTAACTCACTGAGGCTGTTACGCGCGCAATGCACGCGCCGAAACCGACACAACACTCACCGGCGATTCATTATTCCCGGCTTTGTGGTCCGGCTCGATGAGGTCTCCGTACGCCGGCATCGCGTCCGTACACCCCTCCTCTTCGGTATCGTTGTCGCGTGAATGTGACGGTGAGGGCGGCGCTGGCGCGGCGAGACGAACGCGGGCCAGTGCCACCGCCTCTTCCAGCGACCCCACCTCGCTCCCACCCTTCTCTCCGTCATCGTGATCTTCTGATAAACATGCAGATGCTTGAGCCACAAACGCAATACGTCGCCGCAAAGCACTTTCGGGGCTCGGTTCCTCTACAGGTCTTTCCATCTCAGGTTCACTGTTTCTTTTCCAAGCGGCTTTCGTAAATAGTCGCGTCGCAACTGGATGTTCTACTGCAATTGGACTGACCGGTTCTGGTGTAGCGTCCGGTGTTCGTTCTGGTGTGGATTCCGGCGTTAATTGTGAAGCTGTTTCCAATGTAAACTCTGGCGTAGGTGCCGGAGTTTCTTTTTCAGGAGACACATCCTTTTCGAAGTTTTCTTCTTTTTCAGATGGGGGAGTCGGAGTTTCTATAGTTGACTCCACTGTCCTCAATTGTGATAGAGGTGGTGTCGACTCTGCACGTCTTTTACCTATACTACTCATCCTACGTAAAAAACTTCCACCGTCTTTTTTCCTTTTATCGTTATTAGGAGAGCTATCGGTGCTCTGAGAGGCGTCGCTGGTAGCATCGCGATGCTTTTTATTCCGTTTGCGCATCGTGCGTTCGTCGCTCGTAGTGTCGCCGTCTGACGCACAGGACTTAGTAGAACCAGTGCGCTTGATCGAGCCAGTGTGGAAGGGCGAGCCAGAGCGGAACGGCGAGCGAAGCGAACGTAGAGTGCGTCGGAGACGCGAGGGCCCGGAACGCGGGGTTGTCGGGGAAGGGGGCGGAAGGGGGGGCTCCTCGTCTAGCATGGTGGTGGGCCGAGAGCACCGCGCCGACTGCCGCGAGCTCACCGTCTAACCGGCGTAAGGGCAGTGTAGCCTTGGTCCTGATCAGCGTCTAAATCTCGGATAAAATTACATCAAGTCGTACGTACTTAGGTTCAACTTAAGGACACAAGCGTACATGATATAAGTAATTAGTATTTTCTGTATATTAATTAATGTAATCGGAAATGAAATGATACCATAATGGTCAGATACGGCCAGAGCGTTAAGTCTTTTATCTTATATTTCGTAGATTCGTTTGGGAGTTTTGGGACCCGTTTAACCCATGCTTATCAATACCGTCTTTGTTTGTATCACTATTTGATAACTGTGTAATTTATAATATTTTTTGTCACTTACCCAATACATATTAATGAAAAGAATATTAAATATCCAGACATTATAATTTTCACCGCCTTTTACATTACAAATTTTTTTTTCACGTAAGATGTGCGTATTGGTAGAAAACAAAAGCTATACTGGCAACGAACAATACCTGTGCACAGTGTAACTAATCGGATTACGTCTTTCAAAAACTCATGAAGATATTTGATAGCCTAGTCAGACATAATGAATAGATAGTAATCTATTTAACGCAAGTAAAAATACTATAAAAACAATTGAATTGCATGGCTGGCACACTTAATATAGTGAGATTTTATTGGCGTTATATTTTCACGAATTAAGATGTGACCAGAATATTCCTATAATAATTATTTAATATTTTAATTCGTTACAAATAGCTCTTATTATATAAAAACAATACAACAATAAATTAAAGTTAATATAAAATTCCTTTAATACTAATAATAATATAGTGAGATTATATTTTCAATAAACGAAAATTCACTAGGAAATAATTACGATGTTTCTTTTTTGGATAATAAGGGAATTATAATTCCATTATAATAAATAAATATAGTAATTATTTATAATCCCGGAACACCAGTGAGGGATAAAATCGGGTCAGTTGACGCATCATAAGGCGAATATTTCTACATTATAATATGAATAAATCTGTCTAATAATAATCTAATTAATAAGAATAAGTCATTGCCACGCTTGGCAGGCAGATTGGCAACCGCAGTTTGGTTTTTGGTGAGGTTTTAAGAGGGACGCTGCTGTCCATCCCTTGAACATTAAGTTTCCTTAGTGGCCTCTTACGACACCCACGGGAAAGAAAAGGTGGCCCATTCTATGCCAGAAGTACACTTCAAATGAATTCGCCATGTATTATTATAGCGAATTTACTAAGAATTAACCACGATGATTTTCTGACGAATGGGGACCGTGTGAAGGTCTGACAAGAATATATCTTACTACAGGTAGGTATTACTATAAATACTGAGCAATGATATATTACTGACAATGCTCTCATCACTATATGTAGATACCATAATGTGCCTTGTACTGCATAACTTGTATGTATTGCACAACTTGTATATATTGTATAACTTGTGTGTATTGCACAACTTGCATGAATTGTACAACTTGTATTTATAAAAACAGTAAAAATTTGATTGCTGCGTTGTTATTAATCCTAATTGCCGGTTTGTGGCTTACCTAAATTAAGTCAAATAGGTGCACATATACAGCTTCGGTTAGTATCTACTTTCGTTACTCATTGACCCTATGATTCGAATGTTCGGTCTGTCAACCATAAATACTCAACGCCATTATCTCTTATTATGCCAATAGCATTTGTATGGAATCTTTGAACGGAAGAGAAACCATATAATGTAGTTTTGATATCGACCACCGTTCTATAGTACACATTAAGGGATGTAAAATCGCTTAGAAATGAACCTACCAAATTATTTAGTAGAAAAATTAGATAATATATTTTGTTGCTTAAGAATTCGTTCTTTGCATGATTTTTTTTATTGGTGAAATAAATCAAGGTGATATAATTCATGATCAAAATTAAAGGAAAAATGGTTAAAAATAAATTTGACAGCTACGTTTTTTTTTTCTGCAATGGACATTAAAAAGGTGTCCAGACACGATCAACTTAAAGTAAACTTGGTCTGTTATATAATGTATGAGCATTGAATGTTATGATGGAAATTTCCACCATTATGCAAAGAAGGGTTAAGTAAAAAGTTATAAATTACAAAAATCCTTCAGATGATTTAGATAGATAGATTATTTGCATTACTTACAACACACAAATAACTATATATATATATATATATATATATATATATATATATACGCAAAAACAAAAAAGAATAAAAAGAAAAATACATAAAAGAAGTAACATAATTTTTCATTTCGTAAGTATACCACAGTAACACAAAATGGTCACAACTTAGTTTATTGTTTTGCCCTCAAAAGAGCAAAACACTAATATTCTGTTGTCGCCAAAAGCATCTAGCTGTTTATTGAGATATTTTTATAGACCTGTTTACAAACTCTCTTAAATGGTTATTTTCACTATGATAGCGTTATTATATTTAAAAAATAAAAAAAAATAACTAGTTTCTATTTATTACTTAAGCCTAGGTCAAAATTGAGAATGCTCTTAATCTCTGTGTTTTTTAAATTTTTATGTACATATATTACTCTATTTCTGGACTGTCTTTAGTTATTATTTTTACTGTCGAATAGGATTCAATATAAGGTCAAGATGGGAGCTGTTAGTCCTTTATTAATTAAATACTAATTGAATATTTATTGTATTGTATTGTAAAATCTTTATTGTATTACTGTAAAATTTTATCATTTTATTTTTTCAATTTATATTGTATGACAAAATCTTATCTATGATGAAGATTACGTAACGAGCATACCCTTCCTACTTTGTACTTCAATATATGTAAGCATTTACATAGTGCTTTGTTTGTGTTTGTGAGTCAACTTCTCCAGAAGCGGTCCGGCTAGAGAAGTATTATTGTCCATGATCGAAACCTTGTAAATATTTACACATACACATTTTTAATTCTTTGTATTTTGGAGGGAAGTTTCATGTTATCTCGTAAACAATTTATAACTATTTTACAATAATTTAGGATGGTGTTCCACAAAAAGAAAAACCGACTTCAATTCTGGCTAGAACAGTTATTTTGATTTAAAAACTAAACTACAGAACAGATTTAAATAAAATTTCTATGGTTTTTTTTTTGAGGGATGATAATCGAATGGTAACCCCGCCTGCGCTATCGGTATACACTGGCGGGGCACCAGTGAGAGATGATTAGTGAAGATAAAAAGGCAGGTCAATTAGCCCATCGTGACGAATTCAACGATAAATTAATCACGATGGTTTCCAGAGGAAACCGCGTGGAAATCGACCTGATAAGGTATATTGATAGCGAAGGGGACCTGTCCCTTACTATCCCTTTCCCCCAAATTTCTATGTTATCTATAAACCAAACCATAAATACTCTTTCAGATAAAAAATAATTTTCAAAAACGATTTATATCTGAGTTATGAGATAACAAAACATAGAAAAATATAACGAAATTGATAACCATCTTCTTTTAAAGTCGGTTGAAAAGTTCTGACCTTTTAGCAAGGCAATTCCTACTGCGTATATAGCTGTTACACAAGTATTTGTTCAATGCTTATATCATCAATTCATAGGTCTGTTTAGATTGTAATGGGAACCGACGAGATGTCTTACAGATCGCACAGGAAGCATCAATAATGACTAGTACCGTTTAATAGAGCAATGCAAATTATTTCTAAATGTTTGTACGCTCGATTCAATGTGCGTATATGTATGTATGTATGTATTTCATCTTACATGATTTATTTTCAATCGTAGCATGTCTTTGTGCCGTAATTATATATTTATAAATAAATCATATAAAAATAATAATGTACACTCCATACTAATGTAATAAATGTAAAAGTGAGATTGTTAATTTGTTATCTTGCAGCTCCTTAACAGCTATGAGCTACTTTTGGCCCATAGCCCATGTTTAATGACCGAGTCACGCGAACGAAATCGCGGGTAAAAGCTAGGAATTAATAAATAACTCGCTAAAAGACTATACATATAAAAAATATTCTATATAAAAAAATATACTTATTCTTCTAATGCTCTGTTTTTTTTTGTGTACTGTATTTTAGAAAAATAAACGGCACGATATATTATTTATTAAATATCCCAATTTTTTTCAAATAAGATGAAATAGTAATCAGATAAAAAAAGTTATCGTAGTGATTATTTTATTATAGTTTATTTGTTTTGATAGACAAAATATTGCACGCTTGAACCTAAATGGTCACGTACAGTGCGATTTCAAACGGATTTTCTACCGCACACACTTAGGCTGTGAAATGAGCAACCGAGGTTTACCTTAAACACTACAGTATGGGGTTCTTAAAAAAAAGTATATTAAGATTTCTTCAGGATGGGTAAAGCGTGACATTCCTAGTATTGCACGTGTCCATAGGTTACATTAACTGTTTACCGTCAGACGGGCTTTACGATTGTTTGTCACCTTCGTAGTATAAAAAAATATATTATCAACACTTGACTAACATTTAATTTCTCAAATGAATGTGTATCTATATTTAGATTAGATAATATGACTAATATATTCATAGTACTTTTAAGTAGGTACAAACAGTATGTATAACATACTTAACAATATTTACCTCACATTACTCTGCGTAGGTACATAATCTTTTTATTTACTTGTTTGAAAAGAGAACAGCTAATAAAATACTATGCATTCTATGATATGACTGTGTGGTCCCGACATAGAAGAGATCATTACCAGCCGACTAAGGGATAGCGAGGAATGGGCAGCAGCGTCCCATTTCAAACATTTTAAAGCCTAATTGCGATTGCCAATCTACGCTGCTACCCTTCCCTCGACTAATGGTCCTAATTTATTGTATTAATTATATTAGAAGGATATTAAATACTATATTGCATAATATTATACTATCTGTCATATATATGTATATCTATATGATGACTGAATTTATATATTTTTTTACAAAACATAAATAAATAAACTTAGTCAAATATATGTATTAAATAACCAAAGAAATATATAGGCTTAATTTTTTTACACCACAAAAGTGGCAAAGGAGCATACAGCTCGTCTGTTGGTAAACGGTCACTGTAGCCTATAGACGCCTGCAACACCAGGGGTATCATGTACACGTTGCCGACCCTGAAGAAACCTTAATATACCCTTTTTGAAGAACCCCATACTGTAGTCTCTAGGGTAAACCTCAGCAGGGTGGGAGAAAGGGATTGTTAGTAATGGAGACTGAGAATCCCATTGCTAGCAATATACCCAACCAGGTCGACCTCCTCGCGGTTCTCCCTGGAAATTATAATGGTTAATTCCTGATGAATTCATCATGATGGGCCAATTGACCTGTTTTCATTCTCATCTATCACCCTTCACTGGTACTCCGCTAGCGTATCCCGTTAGCGCAGATGGGGTTACCATACCATTTTCACGCATCGAAAAAAAACCTCAGCAGGGAGCACATTCCACAGCCTGAGTGTTCGTGGGAGAAAATTTCTCTGAGATATTATTACAATTGATCCAATATTGACTTACAATGATTCGTCCATTTAATTCAACTTCTATAGCGTCTTCAGCCATCTTTTCTATAATTTTAATATGGCAACACTGTCACTAACTTAAATTAAGCACCAGTCATACCTTTTTACACTTTACACTTAAATTTTCAACAGTTTAAACAAAAGGTTTTTTCTGTACTGTTTTTATTATTACACTAAACAACTTATGTCACTTGTAAATTATTTCTGTTATATAATAAACACATGGTAGTGTATTTCATTCGGTCAGTGTCGATGTACTATCGTAATATATAGGTGTTTGATGCATTAGTATCGACTCTTATCAGTACAAACTGATAAGACTTCAGCAGATTTCCGCCGGTAACACAGGAGCGGCGTTGAAGCAACTTTTATGTTTGTTTATAAAATAGGCAATGATAACAGACAATAAAATCTATTTTGTATTAGTCATATTTATCTACTTAAACAATTTTATGCCTTGTCAACCGACTTCAAAAAGTAGGTTATCAATTCACTCCCTATAGGCTGTCAAAAGAAACTGCTTTATTCTTTATGGTAGTTTACAATTGAGAGGGTTTGCCACGCTTGGCAGGCGGGTTGGCAACTGCAGTTTGAGTTTTGGTGATTTTTAAAATATCTTAAACATGTTTGCTATGTGGTCCCAGCATAGAATGGACCTCATCTTCCTTTTCCGTAGTTGTCTTAAGAGACGATCTAAGGGAATTTAATGGTCCTATTTAAAACATCACCAAAGCCTAACTGCGGTTGCAAATCACACTTGCCAAGTGTGGCAAATACGAGAAAAACCTCCCATATAGGGAAGTCCTATTTTCAGTAGTGAACAGTAAATGGCTAATATGGATGGATAGATCTCACACTTCAAACTGAAACAGAACCTTGTAAGCGCAGCTGCTTCACAGCAGAAACACCAAGGAGACAGAGGTGCTTATTCTGACAAATTTTGTACCAAATCTCCCTCTGGTTGGTTATAAAAAAAAAGAATGTTTCCCCGTGACCTAATGTTAATCGTTTGCATAAGCCTTATTGGATGCAATATGTAATTATATGTACTTACCTTTACATAAACCAAAGATCCAAAATGCACTGCCACATTTCATTTTCGATTTAAACACCAATTAACAAAACGCTAAGAGTAATTCTTTTTAATTTATACACAATAATTATAAGACGCGTACGTGGCTTATATTAAATATGTCATTATCACCCACCTGTGTAAGCCACCTTCCGTTTCTGTTTGCTGCCATGTTGCCGCTGTATTTCGATTTAGTCTTCGCTTCATTTAATTTCTCTTGTTTCAACAAATGTTCCTGAACATTGTGTTTACTCAAGTTTTTTATCATTATCTACTTTTCAAAAGAATGTTTTTAATATATTTTTGCCCTTCTATTTATATATATTTTATTTAATTTAAAATACAAAATTAAAAAGTACTATTTTATCTATGATAGTATTTCCTTTGCCAACCTATTATTTTAAAATTTTATGCGTAAAAAACTTCTGCGTCACAAGAAGTTACGCGAGTATTAAAAAAAGGCGCGAAAAGATTTGCGAGAAAAGTCTTCCTACTACTTATATTTCTATCATTATTACTTTTTTTTTTTAATAAAGTGCAAACAATTTATCAAAACTATTGTTATTGTATTACACTCGTATTCAAATAGCGGACAGAACGCAAGTTTACTTATCTATTGTACGGAGTAAAGTAAAACTGTTCTTATTAACACGTCAATGTTTGCCCTCATAAAGATAATGAATGCTAAGAATAAAATTATAAATAAGATTTCAATGCTTGGGTCACGAATATAATTAGGTATATATTGTAATTCATGTAACAATCCCAGTGAGTGAATTGTTAAGTACCAAAATCTATATACAAGAATATGGACAACTAAGAATATGGAAAAAAGTGATTGTCCGTAATGAGAATTAGTAACCCTACTGCCAGTAATATGCCTCGACCTCTTCACGACCTTTCCTGAAATTCATTGTCCTCAATTAAAGTGAATTCATTCGACATGGTCATATCAGCCGTTAAATATCCACTGCTGAACATAGACCTCCCCCATAGTACCATACTTCATGTGTAACCTATTTGTATATGTATATATATATATATATATATATATATATATATATATATATATATATATATATATATATATATATATATATATATATATATATATATATATATATATATATATATATATATATATATATATATATATATATATATATATATATATATATTATATGTAAACAAAACTACTTAAAAATTGAAGGATCATTTATCGTTTAATCCTAGCGTAGATAGACTGCTAATTTATTTTCCACCATTTCACTTGTAGATTCCTAATCTATGTTTTCACTGGTTATCGATATTATCTAGTGACCTAATTATTGTTTATAATGAAGAATGTTCAGAAAAGAATAATGTAATTTTTACGCAACGTGAAATAGCAAGCTAGCCAAGGGCCTATGTAATTAAAAATGATAGGCGAAAAATGATAGGATAGATAGGAATAGATAAAAAGAAATTATTAGTAATGAGATCTAAAAGGCCCATTACTAGCGGATTTTAAAAACTTTTGATTAAAAAACTTGATGCCATAATGGTTAAAATAAAAAAAAAAATACATTACAGTAAAATTTCGATTCAAATGAAACCAGGAGTATTACATATAATCTAAAATTCGGATAATCGATTTCAAAGTCAATTCAAATAATGTGTAATGAAACTTTAATATTTATTTTTTTTATTATAGAAAGGGTTTTACATACGTCATTTAAACAACATGATATAAAAAAGTATGAGCTATGAAGATAATACCTATTTACTCAATTAATATATAATACCTTTTACAAACCTTCTAAAGATTAAGGTGTTATGCCTCTGTACCGTGTAATTTCATAACCATTTCCTACCCTTCAAACATAGCCACGAAAACAACTGCTTCACGGCAGTTTAGAAACACGAATGGAACAGAGGTACCCATGCAGTTACATTCATATACTTACTAATAACTCTATTTACCTAGCCTCCAGATGAATATAAATTATATAAATAAATAAAACATTATTTACGAATTATTTATTCAATATCTCTGTGAAGATTATCTTTTAAATGTCCTTTCTAAAAATTTATGCAGAAAGCAAGACTAAACTTCTCCCATGCAGGACAATTGATTTTGGACTAAAAATCGGGATCTCCCGCCAAACTCACAATGTCTTGCAACGCTGTCGGTAATCATCGACGTTTATATTATGCATTTTGACCAGACAACCCGAATATTTGCATGCCATTCTGTATTTCGCGATTTCTATGTTTGTAAACCTAGTTATCTTTTATATAAAAACCTACAAAAAAACTGTCGCTTCAGGTTTAGAGACCTAACAATATTTATTCTGCGTAAGTATATGGATAAAGTCAACTGCGTATCAATAGGAAACAGCGGGTCTACCATGAAATGAAATTTCGAACTCAATTTCGTGTTTTTGTTTATACCAAAATCGGATCAATAAATGGAATTTAACATTTCGTTCGTCATACATCCTATCATAAAAGCCCAAAGGAACAATATTTTAACATTTTTAATATTTCCAAACGGCATGTATTATGTAATTTTAACATCAAATTTCTGTTTCGTTTCGCTCCGAAATTTCGGAAAACACTTCATGGTAGGCCCTCTACTCGTTATCTCAGATGCACTCAATACCGTCTATTCAGTCGATTACTAACTAGTACTATTCCATATTCTCTTTTACTTTAAACAAAAGCTCTTAGAAAGAGTACACCCAAGTAAATTTTTTATTAGATTAATAAATAGCCCTACGTCACACCAGTTGATATCATCATATTATGTCTACTGCTGAACATATTCCGCCAGCATATACCGATAGCGATGGCTGTTACCATTCCATTATCGTCCATTGCTGAACATAACTTCCCCCATAATTGCCATAAAGAGCAGTCCAGTGGGAGACTGTACAAAAGTCGATTGCTTGAGTACCTCTGTTTCATTCGTGTTTCTACCGTGAAGCAGTTGTGTTTGCATGGCTGTGTTTCGGTTTGAAGGGTGGAATATGGCGTGAATTTACAGGGTACAGAGGAATAAGACCTGAGTCCTCAGGAATGGCAACGCATGGGGGGTATTATAGGCGAAACAGTATACTCTATTATGTCCATGGTACTGCTCATGTCTATAGGCGACGGTTACCACTTTCCATTAGGTGAGCCGTCAGCTTGTTTGCCATTCTAAGTCGTATAAAAAAAACCTGTATCCACTGACTCCTCATTTACGATCGTCACTTCGCTAGTACTACAGATTTGCGATGGATTTAGTCATATGGAAATAAAACAGTTTTAGGCATTACATGCAGCTTTATTTATGCAACAATAACAACATACACACTTAAAGATATTTAACAAATTAAAAGAACATTGCAGAATTATTATTACTTTACCTAATTACAAATAGTATTTATTAAATAAATTGGCATTGGCCCATCTCACTATAAACTCACACGATCAATTATTATGTTAATCTAACATATTATAAATAAAAATTAACTAAGACCTAAATATTTTTTAATAGCATCAACATTCTGAAACACAAAGAAAAAAAAATTTAATATACTGGAGTCGACACTGAAGCACTATTCTTTATTTTTCACTCTTAATGTTGCCATCATATTTTCGCTAAATTACCAAATGAATATTTCAATTTTAGAAACTGTGAATTTATCCTATTATATATCTGTCAACGCAACATGAAATAAATTATAAGTGTTCTATATTTCTTTTTTGCTAAATCAACATCAGAGGGATAAAAATCGGAATTAAGCGAATCGTAGTCTATTTCAACAGAACTTAACGTGAAGTTTTATTGAAATTATAACATAAATTATCTAAATAAAGTTGCTGAAACAAACCAAAATATTCAATCAATAAATTTTGGTATATCCTACTATTAGACATCAGCCGACTGTGTTAAGGTCCAACCATAATTAATTATTGTTTGCTTATATTATATATTACTCATATCAAACAGCGCCATCTAGTAAAAATTAAATAAACTATCTAAATCGTATAAATTGTTGAATTATTTTATAAAAATCAGCGTTATGTGATAATAATTTCAAAAGACTTAATTTTAAGTCTACTCAAAAAGTAACTAGAATTTTTATATCCATCATTGTTTCACTCATCATTAGGTTGAATGTTTTAAATTATATAGATAGAGCATGGAGTATCAAAAACATGTCAACATTTAATACACTAAATTGAAATTAAGATTTTCCAATTTGACAATTTGAAAAAAAAATAACAAATTTTTTTCTATGTTGCAAGTAATTTCCAAGACAGAAAAAGAAATGTGAAATTTAAACAATCAGCTTAGATTTTTTTTAATTTCACTTATTTTTTATATAAACATACATATTTTCGAATTGGTAACAAATTAATATAAATACATTAATTAATATGGCGGCTATATTTAATAATTTAAAACAAAAATATAAGTGTATACTTGAATTTAAATCAAAGTAAATATAAGGATGAATCCTCTGTTTACTTTCTTGGTTCAAATAAATTCATAAAAATTTTGTAATGTTTCTTTTTTCTAATTTTCCCAATACATACATATACATAGTTTCTCCCATATACTTAATAAAAAATGGACAAAAATGTTCACCTATTTTTGGTGAAGTATTTGTATGGAGACACTATGTAATCGAAGTTTGAGGAGACGACTACTGTACCATAAATTTTACAACTGGTTAAAAATATAATAAATATTCGTACCTACGTGTGTACTCTATAAGGAAAATTAAAACTACAACAAGGAACTGCATAAGTGCACAGCCTACGTTCAATTCTTAATCTATTAAAATCCTGTAGCATGATGTTAGCTCACGCTAATCTTCGAATTTCATGACTTTAATGAAATCTTGTAAATATGTATTTTGTTCGACTAAAAAATATAAATTTTATCCCGAATAGATGGGTAATTCATGAATGTGGTAGGGGTGGTACAAAACGTTTTTCGAGTCAACTAATAAATACCTATATAGTTTTATGATAATTTTTGTGATTCTAATAAAATTTACTTAAATTATGAATCTCAAGTCCTAATTATAATTTTGTAATAAACCTAAAACTTAATTAAACTAAGCCTTAATTAGATAGGTATATGAAATATACAAGTACTTTAATGCTATTATATAATAACAAGTATATATAAGTACACAATTCAAAATTTTTAAATTTGCCCCCTTATTCATAAAAACTAAAATCTTCTTCAAACCTATTTTAAATACTGCACTGTTTTGTCATTTTTTTAAATTGGGAATTTAGCAAAAAAAGACATAAACAAAACAGTACAATAGCTAAAATAGGTTTATGAGAGTTCTGACGATTTTATGAATAAGATTTTAGAAAATATTATTTGTAAATTAATCTTAATATATTTATATATTAAAATTAATTTCCAAATTATGTCGTGTCACGATGTTCATTCAAGCTAATCTTGAAATTGCTCAAACGATTTTAATGAAGTCTTGTAAATGTGTATTGTTTACTGTTGCTACTGTTGATATCGATAAGAAAAAATGTACCCGGTAGGTGCCGGTAGGAGTCAAAACAAGTTTACCTCTAATTTAAAAAAAGAATTAAACTGAACTATAATTAATTTGCCTTCCATACCACAGTGTTGCCAATACTCTTACCAGCTAAACTGTCACTTCATTAAACACCCGCGTCGAAATTATTAGCTAATACTACTATTTACCTGTCCGTTAAGAAATCTTTTTCAATTACTCGATAATAAAAATATATATATATATATAGTACATTCTAATAATATTTTATCAGTGTACCTCGCCACATATTTATCGTATTCTTTAAATAAAAAATCCTCTCAGGAAAATCCTTTTTACAGTCAGTCAATCAGTTCTTGGTACTAGCTCGGCTTCAAATGGACTTGGACACACTATAGACGTTAAAAAAACCATTATAGTAACCAGATAATGAATGACCGAAAAAATCCACGATGATAATTTATTTTATCATCGAACTTCTGAACTTTTATGGTAAAAATGACGCAGCATATGATATCATAATTTAAAAAATATTTACCAAAAATCATGGCTACTTTAATTGTGATATCATCAAAGAATCATTAAAAATCGATGCACAGTTGGCAAATATAAAGCGTAACATACACAAAAATACTGGCCGATTAAAAAAAAATTAAAATCCTATCAAAATATAATTCAATTAATCCAATTAAGACTCCAATCATACAATTATATTGTTTTCCATTCTTCATTTTATCATAGAAATAATAAATGCATTCACGTATAATAGCAAATCATGAATATGTATTCGCATTCAAACAATATATCCACATCCGATAAGATTCATAAAACTGGCTTACAACGGCTGGAAGGAACTGGCTTACAAGACACAGGTTACCCTAATTTGTAAGCCAGGGCAAAAAATATGAAACAGTGCAACCCTGTATTTGTATCCCCTCTTACCGACCTGGTTTCGCTTCAAACATCTTTTTTCCTACATTCTTCACGACTCTGGAACGCGCTTCCTGATGCCATTAAGAGACTACCAACTAAACCGTCTTTCAAAAAAAACGTTTACCCTCACTTTTTTACGACTTTGTGAACGTTGTTTTTTTTTTACAGTATATGTCATATATGTGTAAGTATATTTGTTATTTATATATATTTATTCGTTTATATATGTAATTTTAGAGAGAATGCTTTTAGCATTAAGTATAAATATATATATATATATATATATATATATATATATATATATATATATATATATATATATATATATATATATCTTTTTTGTGTCCAATGTTAATTATGAAATAATGAATAATAAAGAATTTTACAATACAATATTATTACACGGTATTGAGATAAAACAATTCCCATGAATGGCAATTGGCAACCCATTACGACACTAGGCGTATACCGTGGTGCTTTTCATAATTACAATATTTGACTTTGAAAAATTATTTTACAAATACAGTAAAATTGTAAGAAGTCAATGTCTATACATAATATCTCTCATATTAAAGAAAAATTGATATCAGGGATCCTAAGAAAAGCAATAGAAGCGAAAACAGTCGTGTTTAAAAATTTGTTCGATCCGGCTGATGGAAGTTAGATGCGGTTTTCATAGTTGTGGTCTTGAAGATCTAATTGAAAATGTAGTATATGGCTTATCTTGATATGGCGTATGGTAGTGGTCTATTTCATTGGTTTTCCTACTTCTGAAATTCACTCGTTCACAGAAGTAGCAGGCAAAAAGCTAGTTATTAATACTCATCTCTGATATGCAAGAACTGATAAAACTGGCCCGCTAGACAAGTGACAAGCGAATTCGTCGATGGAACCACTTGTCTAGAGGGCCTGATTAATTATCGCACAAGTCATTAAATAAGTAAATATAAATTCCAATAGCATATAAAGGATTATCGCAACGACGACCTTTGCCTCGAAATTAATATAAAAAGTTTGTTTCAATTTTTTTTTTATTTTGAACTAAGAACATGATGTTCTTATTTCAAAAATCAAATCACCCGCCTCCTTCCCGTTTACTAAGATGGCAGCTTTATTTCCCGCGCACTTTTCAACAGGTAATGCGACATGTTTTCGTATGTCAAGAACGTGATCATTGTGGCCGGCACCACCCGCACCAAATTTGGCTTCAGACCCTTGTAGAAACCCCGCCATCCCTCGTGCCTGGAAATAACAGGAATTCGTACATTTAATATTGAATAGTAGATACGTTCATTAGTGTATTTACTTACCATGAGTAATGAAGAATGAACTTTTTTTATTTTTTTTATAATCGAATATAAGACCTATTAAGAACACAAGCCCAAACAGTTTAAGTGGTAATAAAAATCCTAGTTTTTTTTTATGTATTTGCATGAATAAAATATCACAATTGTTTGTGTTTAAAAAAAGATGGAATATAACTTTATAAATAAATAATGAATAATTCCTCTATAATTTGTCCTCTATAAGTCCTTTATAATCTGTATAATTTTTTAAAATAGATAATAGAATAGAAAAAAAAAATATACCGATATAAATATGGTTCGAAATAATATCTTGGCTGAAAAATCAATATATTAACAGGACTTGACTATGTAAAATGTATTATAAATTTAAACTGCGCGAATATGTAGAAAAAATATATGGCACATTTTATTTAAAAATTTTCGTTTTTGAATTTTCACCTTGCGAATTTTATGTCCTAATACAATCTATAGTATATGTACATTCTAACCCTTATTCATAAAAACTAATACAAATCTAACTATTACACTGTTTTGTAGCTTTCTTTCAAATTTGAATTTTAGTGTAAAAGAAAGAGACAAAACAATAGCTAAAATGGCCTTATAAGAAGTTTGACGTTTTTATAAATAAGGAGGTTAGGGTTACTGTAATTTTATTTTTCATTAATTTTGATATAAAAGCAAGTTAAATAAATCGGTTAACTATTATGCAATATAGGCTTATGTACCTTACTGCCAAATAACTAGATAATTGTAAGAGGCACTTACCTACTTCGATTATAAGTAAAGGTTCCTAAAAAAAATTAAGATAATTTCGAAGAAAAAAAAACAACAGACACAAAGTCAATTTGTTATAATTTATTGATTACACAAATTGAAGTGAGTGGAAATAGTGGAACTTTAGCGATTATTATAAAAATATAACGTCTTACTAAATGATATTTGTGGCCAGCCACTTAAAACAATTAACACTAAAGTACAACATACAGCAACAGCTCTTGTAATATCTACCATCTTCACGCCAGATTCCTTACGAGGTAGTCAGAGAGAATACTACTATATTTCTATTAAAAAACACTTTGAGAAAATTTTGTTTTAATATATCAATCACCTCAGTTCTTATACATTTTTATTTTAAATACACAATATATGATAGGAGCTGTTGTTATATGGTATTAATAAATATCGCTGTCTCAGCGCAAAGAAATCTATAACGCATTTTTTTCAATCACATTTATTATTGGTGCGTTTCCTACTGACCCACGCACTAATCTTTTGTTTACAACAAAAGTCTACTATAATTTACTAATGTTAATTGTCTGTCCCATCCATCTAGGATAACGATAGCTTATTATAATTATTCATATTTTTCAAACATATTTTTTTAACGGTAAGTAGTGAAACAATTTTTCCAAATATCGAATACGCTGATGCGTTCCGTTCTCTATTTGTATTATTTATTAATATAGAATCAACACTTCAATCTGTTTACATAAAAACAAGTCTAGAGTATTTTTTGTTACAAATCTTCACTTAATTTCTGTTTCTTGTTCATTATAATAATATGGCTAATATTTTACTTTCCTTTCTTCCTAATATGACAATGGAAATAATATGACGGTCAAGCAGCTTTAGTCAAGCACACATATATTGATCAGAGATAGTCGCTCCGCCTTCTTTGTTTTCCAAGAGGCAAAGCTATTGCTTGACTAAAACCGCTTGATCGTTTACGGGGGCTTTAAACAAAATATCAATCGTATTTTATTATGTTTCATTCTATGACTTGTCTCTGAAATCGACTCGTTCACATATTTTATGAATTTATTATTCGCAAATAAAGGCGGCACCTAGTCACGTGGTAGTCAGGATAAAAAAAATATTAATCGAAACGTCACATCACATTCGACTATACATATTTCAAATAAGCATGTATTTTGTTACATTTGTTAACTCTCGACTTGCCTAAATATTAGTGATATAATAACGCCAATAAAACGAAACGTAAACGGATGCGCCCGCGCAGAATTTACAATTAATAAACGATACAAATTCCCCACTCTATTATTAACCCAATTTTTAACTTAATGTATATTTTAAATAAAACGATTATGATACACAACGATGTATTTCATGGGGTTAATTAACAATACGCCAACTAATGATGTAAATTTATTTTGAATTATTTTTTAACTCGATAAATATAACGTATTGATAAAATTATTTACGTCTATGGTATTTATTATAAATTATAGTATGTTTTTTTTTTTTTTTTAATTGTACTAGTTTTTATGCGATAGAACATGAAATGGTTCGACTGAGTGTAAGTTTTTTTTTTTATTTTTATTTTTTTTATGACAAGAAATTATGTAATAACCTATATATAGCAAAGGCGGGGATAAAGTCTAGGTATACATTAGGGATCTAAGTTAGAATTGCTTCATACTTGCATACAACTTAATTATGAGAGTGTAAGGGGAGGAACTAAATAACTATTATTTGTTATTATTAGATATTAATTATAGCAAGTTGAAACAATCTACCTTATAAATAGCCTAACGTCTCACCACACATGTAACGTTATCATTGAAAATAAACAAAATGATCTTTAAAAGAGGCAATTTAATAAAACACGAAACATATAAGTACGTACCTATTATCACAAAATTCTCAAATTAAAACTAAATTGTGCTACGCATGGCAACACCCGACTAATGTTGCCAGCTTTTATTAAATTAAATTCAGTCACGATCTGATGGGAAAGATACTACTACTATTTACAAGAGATTACGAGTAATTTATTTCGTATATATAATATATAAAACACAACATATGTCGTGAGACAGATTTTACAATTGTTAGAGTAACCATAGTCATATTACTTACTAAATATTAAAGAGGTCGCTTCACAAATTGTCGATGGTTTTACAAATAGAAACATACATTAATATATAATTGTTACATTCAATATTTAAATATTACAAAATACAACAATCCTAAACCTGTCATAATAACAAAAAGTATTATTGCAAATTTCATTAAATTATACAAAGAAAAAAATCTAAGTAGAATTGTCCAAAATAAACAAAAATAAAAATATGTATACAATTAAAAATGCACTTTCAAATTAAGAACACGTTGTACTTATAAAAAATTCGTGCTTAAACTCTACATCTTACCTCGTAAACGACACCAAAGTAAACCCTGCAAATGACAGCTGTCAAGATCAAATTAAAAAATAATACATACATAGACAATATAAATAGCCGTGTACTTTCCCATCAGATAAGGTGGATTCAATCGTTGTTCGTGAATTTCTCCCATATGAGCATAACTAGGCATATGTTAGGCGTTACATGTAGGAGATAGGGCGTTAGGCCTTTGTAAAAGCCTCTGATTCGTTCGTACCTCCACGTCTCGCGGATGCAGTGCCAGGCGCCGTCGTAGCTGCGGTGGTGGTCTTGGAGGCGCGCCCTCACCACCTGGTACGGGTACGTGGCGCCGGCGGCGATCAGTTTGGATATCGCAGCGAATGTCAGATATTCCACTGACGTCTGAAAAATTGCGTATACAAACTTTTCAATAAAATATATAATGAAATATATTTTATATCATCATCATCATCACATCAACCTTTAACTGTTCACTGCTAAATATAAGCCTCGCCCTTGGGGGCTTTGCTAGTAGTTGCCACGCTTGGCAGACGGATTAGCAACAGCAGTTCAGCTTTAGAGATAATTTAAGAGTGACGCTGCTGCCCATCCCTCGTCCGCCCTTAATCGCCTCTAACGACACCCACAGAAAAGGAAGGGCAAGAAAAATGGGCCACCATTTTATGGCGTGGCACACACGGCGATAAAGATAGAAATATATTTAATTACTTTTTAATTATCATTAATATACTTAATTGTCAATTAAAATACAAATATTAATATTACAATGAAACGAAATAGTAGCTTTAAATTTTATTAAGTCACAATAATATTTAATTAATAAATAATTAAAATATAATATTATTTCAGAGCTTTTTAATTAATTTAAATGAGTATTTAGTATAGCTGTAAGTAGTTGGAACACTCACCAATTTTATATCAATAGGCAAATTCCTGTACTGGTTGTAACGATTCTTCATTTCCTCATATGTCATGAACTGCAAGGCGCCGTGTGATACTCCAAACATGCCTGGCACAAACCCCTGGAACAGACCAACAAACGTTTAAGAAATCAGATAAATCAAAATTATTTGAGATATACATACACACACATATAGTATACACACATATATAGCTTATATTGCTCATTGATAATGTAGCTTACTATAAATGAAATAAAGTTTAAAATCAATTAAGTAGTTCTTGAGTTTATCCATTACATGGATATTAAATTACAAAAAAATGGAATATTTCCATTTTATAATATTAGTATAGATTAAGTTTCCACTGCACTACACAGTTCTATCCTGCAAGAGAACTAGCGTGAAAATAAATATATATAGGTAAGTACACATAATAATAAGCGAAACAATTTAGATAATAGTGTCCTAAATTAACAATATGAGGCGATACAATCAGATACATTGCAGGGCTGACGTAAGAACTAGTTATGTTTCGTTGCAGTCTACACCGCTTATCTCGTGAACTCAACCAATCTATAAGCATACGTTTAATAAATATTTATCACCAAACTAAACCAAAGCAGTTACAATATTGGATAACGTTAGGTTATAAACAAACAGATAAGTGTTTTAAGAAAAAAAAACTATTTTAAAAAGGAAATCAATGCAAGTTAATGGAAACAATGATAAGAAAACTTTGGACAAATTTATTTATGTTATTTATTTGATCGACTGGGTTAGCTTTATAATATTTACTTATTAATATGGGAAAAGTTTGTTTTCCGCCTTAACGACACGACCAATTACCATGAAATTTTACATAGTAATTGTGATGGAAAAGGAAAAATATTTTTTTTTCCCGCTCACTCTACATATCTTAGCTGCACGAATGAAGTCGTGACTAAAAATAGGTTACATGTTGCCCCAAAACTCCGAACATGCATACATTACAACCGATAAGCGAACTTTTGAATAGATAAAGTGAATTCAACAATCATTTAGCATACGTTGTTACATATACGTTATTCAACACGAAGCTAAACTCCGAAAACGCTTAATGTTATAAGTATTATACAGTGTTTCATCATCATGATTTTGAATGATGATCACGACTCTGGAACGCGCTTCCTGATGCCATTAAGACACTACCGACTAAACAGTCTTTCAAAAAAAGCGTTCACGCTCACTTTTTAACTTTATCCGAGCAGTAAGTGCTTTATATTGTTCTTAATTTTGTGTATAATATAGTATATATCATATATGTGTAAGTGTATTTGTTATTTATATATATTTATTCGTTTATATATGTAATTTTAGTATGTATGTATATCAATAATTAGTAGTACCGCATTCGAGTATTCTGACACTTCCCTATGGTTGACTGGGAGAGAATACTTTTAGCATTAAGTCCGCCATGTACACATATTTGTACTAATGAATAAATAAATAAATGATGAAAATTCTTGCCATTGAAAAACAAAATTCTTCCGTATAATCCAATATACAATCTATTAAAATAACATCAGTTTACACCGCCTCTGACCACAGTTGATATACCACATAGTTGACATAAGTAAATGCGATAATATGTGCCACATCCACAATCTATGGACACAAATACAGATGCAATACCACCTACTATAATCTGCTTTTATACTTCACTTTGTCTGTAGTCTTTTAAATAAAAAAACTGCAATGTTATAAGATTTTACTCCATAAAAGTCATTAACAGTGACAAAATGAATAATACGCAAGACAATAATAATAATAAAATTTATGCCAATACTGGAGTCATATTCGATCTATTGCAAAAATCTGTTTTAAATTTACAAAGCCATCGCGTAACATATAGACAATGTATAGTTTGAGAATGTGTTCCACAAAAAAAAAACAACTTTAATTATGGAAAAACCAGTTATTTTGATTTAAAAACTAGACTACTTGATCAATTTTAATAAAATTTCTACGAGACCAATCTGTAAGTAAATCCTTTCAGATAAAAAAAGAAATATAAATCGGTTTAAAACAAACATAAAAATAAATACAATTTAATTGAAAACCTTCTTTCTATGTTTATGTTAATAATATAAATTTATCTTATATTTATTATTTGTTCCCGTTTCATTTTAAATTATCAATGTCTGAAAGATAAAACTTCTTAATGCTAAATAGTTCGAGCAAAAAAAAAAACAAATTATACTGCACAATGCGACAGCTGTTCTGTCGCAGCACATATCTAAATCTAAGAACATTCTATTCCGAAATCTTTGATCTAAATAAACGATTGTTGCAGGATGGATGACGTCAGTTAGGTGACTTTTTAAAAATGAGTTTTATTAATAGCTGCGTAATATTGCATACGTAACAAACAAGGCTAGTTATAATAGGTATATAAAAACGTCACTCAACTGACGTCATCGATCCCGCAACAATGGTTTAAGGTGTTGCGACTGAACAGCTGTCATCACTTGTATTATTATTATTGTATTAGTTGTAATATATATAGTAAACGATCTTAGGAGTTTTTACTTTTGGAATTGAGAATTTTAAATAAAGCATTATATAATTAATTAACACAAACGCGACTATTTTGTTTTTCTTTATTTTATATTACATTATGAAAGGCTCTGTCAATTTAGTGATAATATTAATGAAACCAAGAAAAAACTTTCACCGTTCAATGGACGTCTATAACTACAATAAAATTTAAGTTTGGCTATAAACCTCACTGGCTGGTTAGAAATGGATGCATAATTTATATGTAGACATTCCATTTTCAATGTCGTATCCAATGGTATTTTTTTATATTGTTGGTTGTTTTAAAAAGTTAATAAAATTTAATATTAATCTATTATAAAAACTATCTAGAATGGTGTTATGCAACTAAACTTCAAATCCGGTTTGTCTTGCATATTATATATAACAAAATTACATATGAACTTATATACGAAATTTGTGAATAATCGAAATAGTTATATAAATAACAAATAGGTTTTGTTACAAATTTTGACACAGTTTGTGAAACCATAATAAACAAAAAACGGTCCCTTGATTACACAAATCTTACGTTTATGTTTGTTTTGTATTACTTAAAAGCGGTTACCGAACGAACAATTCTCATTCTGGGGAATTCTAAGTACCTAATGGGGTCTAACAACCCAATTTTGCTAGCAATATAGGGCATATTCAATTATGCCGATTTCCAAGCGATTCCCATTGGTTAATTTCTAGTAAATTCGTTACAATAGTGACTTATTTTCTTTCATACCTATCATCGTATCACTGTTTCCCCATCAGTGTAAACCGATAGGCGAGCTTACCCTTCCAATATCATCCCTAAAAACATCTAGCGTTAAAGCTACCACTCTACGTAATACTCCGTTCGAAAAATATTTATTAATTACTATAATTAGTAATCAACCTCCGGAACATGTGACTTATCGGTACAAAATATCGACGTCCTAAATTCCATTGACCGTCGTTCACTGGTAATTTCTAAGTAATGGCCACACTAATAACAAAACATGTAATGGGCACCTAACGTACACTCTCAATCCCTATAATCTATAGAAATAAATGGCATGCGAAACAGTGACTTGGCACAGCTTTCGCTAATAGTAAAAACTTTCCGTGAGCTATCTTTAGAAGCCAATTTACCCACTAAACGGACTTACGTGCTTTCGATTGAATTCAGTGTCCTGGATATATCATTTAAAACAAAAACTTTAGATTTATAAACCAATCTATTTTAATTTCATTTCATTATTGAAAATAAAAAAAAAATTTAACATTTTGAAGGGTTAAATTTTCTCCCTCTGGTATATAAACGATATTATAATGATATAAAGCTATTTGCAGTAGTTTCATATTTTACAACAACGATCTAGCTGTATGTCCTTGCTCTAATTCTGCACGTGTGGCGTGTGACCAGTATTGTTTCCGTGTAAACGTAACAGAATGTTTTGTTCTATCAGTTTTATTATCCGTGTTATTACTATAAGTACATCATTTCCGTGTGGTCTTGGCATAGAATGGCTATCTCTTTCTTTCCCGTGGGTATCGTAAGTTGTAACTAAGGAAACTTAATTGTGGATGGATGGGTAACTCTTAAAACATCAACAAAGCCTAATTACGATTGCCAACCCGTCTGCCAAGCATGGCAACTACTGGCAAAACCCCCCTTTCTTATAAGGGAGGCCTGTGTTCAACAGAGGATACTTAATGCCTGATATCACAATAAACATTATTTCCGCAAAAAAAAAACAAAAGAGGACCTGGGAATAAATTCTATCGATTACAAAAAAAAAATCATGCTTAAAAGGACCTTTTTCTCTAAAAAATAATCATTACAATAGGTAATAAACAAACAAAAACAATCAATTTCAAATACTCCTTTTTGAAATCGGTTAAAAACGTAATAAACAATTACATAGAAATGACATACTACACGAGGCATAACTCATGCCAACTTTGATGTAAAAAAAATTTGCACCCAAAACGGGGCCCCAATTTTGCTAATTTTAAAATGCTTCTATATAACGCTATCTATGTACCTATATGAATATACGGATATTGGAACTATGTAAAGAAGACAGTATAATATTAATGAATTTTTGTAAGCTATAAATGTATGTATGTAGCTGTGACATTGACTTAGTTTGAAATTTAAATTGTATTTATAATTTTATTTGACATTTCTATCATTTTATTATTTATAATAGCTTTATTGACTGCTTTTAATGCATGACCAAAGTGTGCACTTAGTACTAGTAGTGATTTATTGTCTAATGTAGTAAATAATTGAAAATTAAATATATAATGTACCTGTATAAAATGGCCATGGATAAATTCAATAATTAATATTTACATGCCATTTGATGTGGCGAAACATAATGGACATCTTATAAACTTTACAAATGCAATACCTTTTCTACAATGTTTCTACCAAATAAATTTCATTTAATTTCATAATTTAATATTCACATAAAAAATTGTCAACAGTGTCAAAAACAACAAACTAAACATATAATATTGAAATTGTTTCATCACTACATTATGAAACAATTTACTAAATTAACAGAACTGAAGTCCATTTCGGTTGTAATCACTCGCCACTGATATACAAAAAATCCTAGATACACAATTAGAGACTAAAAAAAAGAGCGCATTTAACCAAATTTTGCACTAATTTCTAACCGTCATTCGTGATGTTCACAGTAAAAAAATAAGTGATCATCATCATCATACCAGCCTTACATTGTCCACTGCTGAACATAAGCCTCCCACTTGGAGGTTATGCCAATAGTTGCCACGCTTGGCAGGCGGGTTGGCAATCGCAATTAAACTTAGGAGATGTTTTAAGAGGGACGATGCTGCTCATCCCTCGCATTCCCTTAGTCGCCTTTTAGAACACTTATGGGAAAGGAAAGCCTGGCCTATTCTATACCGGAACCAAATGGCCCCGGTACAGCAAAAAAATAAGTATTAATACAAATTTTGTTATATAATATCTATGATGTGTAGTGTCCTATTTACAGTAAATATACGACTCCATTCATACCTTATCATATCTATTATTTTTAATTAAAATTCAGGACAGTTCAAAGTGTAACTTTTATATGTGAGTGTGAATCTTGTGTTTTTCTATATCAATGTAGCTGACAGTAAAAACATAATAATATACAAATAATCTCACTTCCGTATGTATTAATGAAGGATTATTATGTTTACTGTCCAAGCACGATTATTTAAATGTGACATAAACAAAATTGTCAACTTACGAGTATACTATTAAATGAAATTTTTTTTAGCGTAAATACATAACATTTGTATAAATAGAGGTGTTTATAGTAAAACTAGCTGACTCAGTAAACGTTGTTTTACCGTATACATTATTTCAAAAACTATACATGAAAATATATCGTACTACAATTATTATATTCTATTGTCATCTTGCAACCCTATTGCGGCATATAAAAATCACGATTAAACAACAGGAGTTAATCGTAAAAGCGTGAAAACTTGAATTATAAATATACATACAGTATATTTCAATGCTAAGTCTTATTAAATTAAAATTGAAAAAAAAAATTGACAAAAAAAATTAACAAAATTTAGGGGTGGGTCACACTTGTCATTGACGGGTACGAAAAACAGATGTTGGCCTATTCTCAGACCTACCCGATATGCACACATAATTTCATAAAAATCAGTAAAGCCGTTTCGGAGGAGTACCATCCTCAATACGCAGCGCCCAGTCATTAACAATCTTCAAGAACCTAACTAAATCCCACTACCTGTCATTATAATTTAAATTTAAGTGACAAACATAAAAAAGGGGAATGGGATTGTTAGCAATGGAGTTTGACAGCCCCATTGCTAGCAATATAATCACCCTCTGGTATATATACATTATTGCCACTAAACAATATATCGGCCTTCGTATTGTAACGCAAAGATAGGTAGAATTAGTTACCATTGTAGGAATAAGTATCTACACGAATTATCGTAGTCGAGATTAAGATTAACACAAATATTGTTATGGAAAATAAACTATACAAATCAGTTTAACGATTCAAACTTTCCATGTTTATTTTACGGCACGTGTACGCGACGTTACGACCATGCATATTATGTATTTAGATCAACCGTAGGGTTGCCAACCGTATTCATTTACACATTTTATGTGCTCTACACACACTTACCAGAGGGAGACTTTGTATAAAAGTCGATTGCTTGGGTACCTCTGTCCCATTCGTGTTTCAACCGTGAAGCAGTTGTGCTTGCATGACTGTGTTTCGGTTTCAAGGGTGGGCGTGAATTTACTGGGTACAGAGGAATAACACCTGAGTCCTCAGGAATGGCAACGCATAAGGAGTATCTTGGGAGAAACAGTATACTGTGTTATTTCCATGGTACTGCTCATGTCTATAGCCGACGGTTACCACTTTCCATCAGGTGGATCGTCAGCTTGTTTGCCATTCTAAGTTGTATAAAAAATAAACTATAAAAATCGTATACTGAGCTAATTACATGTTTGATGGTTTTTCTACCAATCGATTATTTATTACACTAAACGGAGACCAAACAAGCCGTTTCATAGCCATATCCCACCCTTTAAACCGAAACACGACCATGGAAATACAACAACTTCACGGCAGAAATACAAACGGGACAAGCAGACGACTTCTACAAAGTATCCATCTGGTATTTGTCGGCTTATGTTTCTTTTAGGAAAAATTGTTCAAATATGCTTCAAATGTACCTTGAAAAAGTAATTTTTATGTCAAGTAATATTTTAAGTCCAGATTGTGTTTTTGGCAAGAAAATAACATGATAAAGACATATAACAAATTAATAAAAAAGAAACTTCTACTATGTCACGGTGTTGTCAACATACAAATTATATAACAACTTACCCTATAAAGCCCCCTGATGCCCTCCGTCCTGTATATCTTGGTCAAGCCGTCGACCATGCCCTTGTATCTCTTGTGCTCGGCCAAGTGTTCCTCGCTGTACTGCAAGCACAGCCTGGTCTTTACCACCCAGATGGGATTCGTCATAACCAAGGACAGGACTCCAGCTTCGGCGGCTGCCAACATGTGGAGGCCTGGTCCAAGAGGTGTACGGGCGTTGCCCCCTTGAATCCATGTCTTTATTGCGTTATAGCTGAAGAAAAAAAAAAAGAATTATATATTGTGTTAAAAATAGTATTGAAATAATAGTTTCTAATACTATTATTCGGAGGGGGGGGGGGGATTGTTACTAATGTAGACTGAGAATCCCATTGCTAGCAATATACCCAACCAGGTCGACCTCCTCGCGGTTCCCCCTGGAAACTATCATGGTTAATTCCTGATGAATTCATCATGATAGGCTAATTGGGCTGTTTTCATTCTCATCTATCACCCTTCAATGGTGCTCCGCCAGCGTATCCCGTTAGCGTGAGCGGGGTTACCATACCATTTTCACCCATCAAAAAAAAAACTATCATTCGTGTGTGTAAAGGCATCGCCATCTAAGTATCGAGAGGCGACTAAGCGTTTCCCGTGAGTATAAGAGGCGGCTAAGCGAATTTATTGGTCGAGGGATGGGCCGTAAAATCCCTCTTAAAACATCACCAAAGCGTAACTACTGTTGTCAACCCGCCTGCCAAGCATGGCAACTACTAATGTAGCATCCTATGGTATGGGATAAAAGCTTATATCCTTCTGTATTCCAAACACTACGTGTTTACCAAAAGTTCATGATGGTTGGTCGAGTCATTGAGGCGGTAAGATATAAACAAATAAATAGAATGGTGACGCATGTGGAATACCATCGTGACAGAATATATTCTGTTGTCCATGGTGCTATTCGTGTCTATAGGCGACGGTTACCATTCACCATCAAGTGGGCTGAAAGATCGCTTGCCATTGCTATCTATAAAAAAACAACTCATTTTCACATTTATAATTATTACAGTAAGAATGAAAATCGTTTTCAAATTTTTCTAATGTTATGTGAATCCACAACCATGAACATCCATTAACATCCCACTATCCAGGTGGCAAGATGATGTCACGATTCTAAAAATACTGTCTTAATTGTGTCTTAAGTGTTATGGGTGACATGACGACAGTAGAAAATAAATATGGCCGCTATAAACTGCGGAAAAATCGCGGTATTTAACAGACGAGTTTTTTTTTTTTTATTTTGTCAAGTTATAAGTATAATTTAGTCACTTATTATCCTCACTCATATTATAAATGTGACAGCTAGTTTGTTTATTACCTCTTAGCGCCTTAACAACTAAACGTTATAAAATTATGTTAGATTATAATTATAATTATGTTAGACTAGCCGTATCCCGCGGCGCTGCCCGCTTCTTAGTATTTCTCGTATATACTCCCATTGGAAGTCTTCATGAATCCGGTCTTATATTGTATTATATATTCAAATGATAATTACGTACCTAATACCTTCATAAAGTTTCAGCCAATTCAACTGATTTTGAAGCATTTCATATGTGATTCTTTAGATTGATATAACTTTTTTATGTATGAACTGATTGAAATGAAACAAACACTAAATGTTAAGTGAAATAAACTGCAACGCATTAGTGAAAACTACATTCAAATCGGTTAAGCCGTTTCTGAGATTAGCATGCACAAATGTACAGACAAAAATTGTAATAATCATTGTTTTAGGTTTTATTGCGTTCATAAAGCTCCCCTTATAAAAGTTTTTTCTTCTATGGATACTAAGCAAGTGCTTAATATATAATACCTATAGCCATGAATACAATTATGCATATTGTACAAGAATGCAACTCACGACAATCGGAAGTTAGAGAACTGTGCAAGCTGCACAAACGAGCCGCACAAACGGTTACACCGCCAAGGTCGTTAAATAAATCAAAACACGTTGACATTTTTTGTGGATTTCACCGCTCCGTGACCGATTGGATAAAAGAAACTGAACAATAACCAAAGTACATAATAACAAAGAGCAAAGTCGGTTTCTTTAAAGTTTCTCAAACAAAGCATGATGTGATTGCCTCTAAATGTAAAATCAGTTAGATCTAATTCACTAGTGTTGGGGGGAAAGGGATTGTTAGCAATGGAGTTCGACATTGCTAGCAATATGCCCTATCAGGTCGACCTCCACGTGGTTCCCCCTGGAAACCATCGTGAACAATTCTTGTTGAATTCATTACGATAGGCTAACTGACCTGCTTCATCCTCATCTATCATCCCTCACTGGTGCCCCACCGGTGTATACCAATAGCGCGGGTGGGGTTACCATTCCATTATCACCCATTAAAAAATTCACTAGTGTATTATACTCGTATTAAAATGCTTCGCTGTATCTAATGTTGGTAATTCTATAAATCTATACATATAAATAAAATTGGAGTGTCTGTTTGTAATATTAAAATAACCTACTATTAAATATTTTACTACATGTATATGTATATATACGGTACATACACCAACATAACATTTTTTACAATTTTTGTCTGTCTGTTTGTTCCGGCTAATCTCTGAAATAGCTGGACCGATTTTGACGGGACTTTTATTGGCAAATAGCTGATGTAATAAGGAGTAACTTAGGCTACGTTTATTTTAGAAAAAAATCCTTTCTTTTAGAAAAATAAAGTAATGTTGCAATGTCCAAGTACTGTACAGTACCGCGCGCAGCTCACGCCACCACTGCATTATAGCGGCGCGGGAGTAGGGCAGGTGGGGGCAGGCACATCTATGAAATAGGTAAAGCTCCCTACGCAGTGAACGCAACGATACAAATGTAAAACGTTGTAAAAATGTCCACCCGCGCGAGCCGGGACGGACCGCTAGTAAATAAATAAATTTGCATCACGGTTAAATACAATGCAATTAGATATTAATAAATGCAATTGCAATTTGTCTCACAGAAAAACAATTCCTTCACTTATTATAAAATTAATATAGGACCAACACGGAACCCTATAGATTGCAAAATAATGTCAAAATATGTGCAGGAGGAGATTATATAAGTAAAATATTCTATCAGGAAAAATAATTCCAAATTCAAACTACTTTTAATACAATGTACTTTTTAATACAATTAATTGCAACTATGACACAAAAGTGCGTTTTGTTTTGATTAAAAAAAAATCAGCCAAACGTCAAACAGTTGACTAAATTTTAATACGCTTTTGATACTCGATGCTATTTATAGCTCTTAAAGGTTCAGAAATGACGCGCAATTTTATATTATTTAATAACTAGCTGTTCCCCGTGACTTCGTCCGCGTTTCCGTCATTTTTCGTAAAATAAGTAGCCTGTCCTTCCTCGCGGTTCAGTGGTTTTGATGTAACAGACACATTTCCCTTCACTGCTCTGCTCCTATTGATCGTAGCGTAATGAAAAGTATACTATAACCTGCCCAGGAGTATGAAGAATAATTGTACCAAGTTTCGTTAAAATCCGTCGAATAGTTTTTGTTTTTATAACGAACATACAGACAGACAGACAAAAATTTTACTGATTACATTTTTGGCATCAGTATCGATCACTAATCACCCCCTGATAGTTATTTTGGAAATATATTTCATGTACAGAATTGACCTCTCTACAGATATATTATAAATATAGAAGAAAAAAAAGATATCAGATTTAGTTAAAACCTGTAACATGTTGAATTTATTAAAGAACTAAACTCTTGAGTTTATTCAATTTATCATCCGGAAAGAGCGGTTAGGTAACAGTCGTTTACATCCAATTAACGCATTTGTGTTGACGTTAACTCGATGACAATGCAATTTACAATTAGCACTTAACCACGGCGTTAACATTACGTTCGGGTTACTGTATATGAACTATTGTTTCCTGAAAACGGTTAGCAGTTGGCACACAGACATTGATTAAGAAGATATTACGTATTAATTTTTAAAAGTGAAAATTGAACTGTGGTTTCTCGATTCGAAATTCCTTATTTGTATAAAAAAACAGTAAAGGATTAACAAAAAATAATAGTGTAGTATTAATTACGTTCCTTCTTCGACTGTTGCCGTTGTTTTTGAAAGGATTTAATGCAGTAGATTTAGTATTAATATATAGCTTTTGTAAGTGACGGACTAAATCTGTCAGAGAGCCAGGGCGACAAAGCTGAATAAGACCCCAAATTTAGGAAGTTAGTATAATTTTAAAATCACAAATTTATTGAGTTCACATTTGTATATATAAGTTTTTATTTTTATCTAGTTAAAATTGTGCAAGTGAAATTTCAAGTAGACTTAAATAAATAGACATAAAATATGTTTGGAGGACCCCCCAAGAACAGAAGCTCGAGACGGGCCGCTCCTTCCATCTCCCCTTTAGTCTGCCATTGGCTTTTTATTTATTATTAGTAGAGACAATATGATGGTAATTATACTAAATACGATGTTAATTCTGATTTATAGACAGTTTTATTTGCATCGTCTCATATCATCTCCATTTATATCTGTGTGTACAATTAAAATAACCAGGAACAAAACTAAAATGTATGGAATATACATTGTAATTACAGACATGGCTGCATTTAATTGGCATATAATTAATTGGACATATGTCCAAACACATAATTAATATGCAGTCCTAATTAGTAAGCGACGGTTAATGCAATATAGTTCAGTTGATAACGTTCATTCTAAGCATAAAATTGTACAACAATTGTAAACAGTCGATATTTTTTTTAATATTGTACTAAAATAATATACCTCAATGTACAATAGTCAATAGAAAGCAATGCAATATTTATACATTAGAATCTCAGTGTTAGATTATTTTTCCTCTGGTTATGAATTTAACATGGCCAACCCGTTACGAAAGTTTATACGAAATTTCGTAACTGTACGAAACATGAACTTATTTATTAATAAATAATTAATACATAATTAATTAATGTATACATACATATACATACAAATATATGTATGTAATTTTAATTTGTATTTTTTTATATTTGTTATCCGTTAGTTATAAAACGATTTGGAAGTTTTTTTTTTTTTATTTGAAAGGATATACTAATAGATTGGTTTAATAGAAATGTTATGAAAATCAGATCAGTAGTTTAGTTTTTAAATCAAAATAACTCGTTTTACCACATTTTAAATCTCTTTTTTTCCTCGTGGAATACACTCTTAATGTCTTATCGAGATATAAACTATATCTTAAGATCGAGCAAACAATACACTTACAAAATCATTTAAATCGGTTGTGATTTTGAAGATTAGCGTTAACGAATACCATGACACGGGATTATGTATTAAAATTATGCAGAGTCGCATTACACTTAGAGTTATTATTGGCTGTACAAAATTTTCTCATCAGAGCAATCTTGAAGCGAATTTCAGAGCGAAGTCTAATTGCCAATACTACATCTATTCATTTTGGTTCACTTGAAATTGTATAATGTGTGAGCTCTTAACGACGAGTGACTCTTTGCCAATAGCAATATCGCTTGCCTGATTGTCTATACCAGTGTTTTTCAAACTTTCTCATAGCGCGACACTTTTTGTAAGTTATAATATTTTGCGACCCCCTACCCTCCACGGTTCCTAAGATGTATATATTTTATTATATTACTAATTAGCTGACCTGGCCAACGTTGTTCTGCCACATAAATTAGAGATAAGGACACCCTAATCACCAAGCAGTATAAAATATACTTCATACATATACTTTTTTTTACAACACAGGGGGCAAACCAACTTGCGGCTCACCTGATGGTAAGTGACTACCGCCGCCCATGATCACTCACAACACCAACGACATTGCAGGCGTGCTGCTGGTCTCTTTACCTATTCTCATATCTACCAAAAAATTCATAAAAATCGGTCGAGCTCTTTCGGAGGAGTGCAACCACAAACACCATGACACAATATTTATATATTATATATACTAGATATCTAATCCGTACATTTTTGTTTATATTTTCATAATTAGGTGTCAATTAAATACAATAAATAATGCACAATGAAGTACTTAAATCAGACATCGATTACGTTACAAAACCATTGCTTTTTAGGGCTTCGCGAGCTTCCGCGACCCCCTTGTAGAGGCTTGGCGACCCCAGGGGTCGCGAACACTGTCAAAAATCACTGGTCCACACTTTGAAAAACACTGGTCTGTCAACGCGCCAATAATACCCGACAGCGTGTCGACGTAGGTAATCGTAGCGTCTATTACCGATCACCTTATGATCCACTGAGAAGTGTAATAAAATCTCTGTTCCCACGCGATAACAATCTTTGTTTTGACTGGTGATTTTCGAGTATATTTGTACTGCGGTTTTTTATGGGTTGATAATGGAATGGTGACCCCGCCTGCGCTAATGTCATACGCTAGCGAAGTTCCAATGAGGAATGATACATTGGATGAAAAGTCATCAGTTAGATCATTGCGATAAATCCACATGGAATTAAAGACAAAGATTTACAAGAACCGCGAGGAAGTCGACCTGACATCGTATATTGCTATCAATGACGTTACTGGCAGTATCCCCCCCCCCCCTCCTGTACTAGGGGGTTAAAACCCCATACCATATAAGCCGTTAACTGTCCACTACTAACGTAGAACATAGGCATTTACCAATAGTTCCCGCCTGCCAAGCGTCTGTGCTCCTATGTACATATATGTTACATAGACAGTGAATGACAGAATATTTGTGTTTAGCTGTAAGTTTGTGTACGCTAATCTCTGAAACCCTTTAACCGATTCCAATACGGTTTTCACTAACGTATTACGGCTTGCTCCACCTAACATTTAATGTTTGTTTTATTTCAAACTGTTCATAAATAAAAAAGTTATACCAATCTAAAGAATCACATATAAAATTATATAAAATAACCGATCAATTGAATTGTCTGAAACTTTTTTTATTATATGCACTGATTTTCGAAAATTCTGTCTACTCAGGCGAAGCCGTTTTGGATCGCTAGTAACAAAAATACATACACAAAAAAAGTAAAATACATAAAAATAAGAAACATATTTTTTCGTTTCGTTTCGTTTTGTTGTGTTACTATAGTTCACAAAAAGGTCACAAAACAAAACAAATATTAACAAAACATCTCATTATTCATCATTCAAGTTTCGATGACTTGTCAAATTTTCAGCGGCTATTTTATTTTTCTTTTGTTTTTTCAAAATATATGTATTTATCAGTTAAATATTAAAAACCTGGCTCTCTTACCTCGCATCCCCTTTTAGATTTTGGCATCATACCTATACGAGCACAACAGGGATATACGCGTTGATAATGAGTGATAATGACCTTTGTTTTGTTACCCGTGCGTATTTCAACATTGCAAATTATTTCGTGATAAAAAATTATTTTCCCGTATTCGGTACGTTATGTTTTTTATCTATGACCTTGGAGGTCACTCAAAATCATCGTATATGATAATTTTACTATAAACATAAGTATACTTTTACATTTAATCTGATGTTATTGTGTTTATACCCAGTGTTATTAAATATCTCGTCATACATTTCCAATCAAGTTACGCTAACTGAAGAATTACTTTTTTTTTTATGTAACTTGGGACGACATACAAGCTAAAGTCCCATTTGATGGAAAATGGTAACCATCGCCTATAAGTCTTTAAAAAAGACCATGGAAAATAGTGAATACACTCACCACTTTGGTATCACATGCATTGTCATACTTGAGAGCTAACGTGTTAATTCTCATATTCCATAATTTTACTTTCTAAAACCCACTATCGACACAAAATCACAAAGTGCTATTCGGCAGTAACACAATTAGGACCGAGTTATCAACTAAGCAGATAGCTGTTAAGTAAAATCTCAATCTTATGATACTTACAATAGAAAATAAAATCCCCACGCCGACCCGGAGCCCCAAACGTTGGGAGTGACGCCTCTATAGAGTCCTTTTACTCCCTCCTTCTTAACTATTGTTACGAAAGCGCTGCCAAGTCCATCGTATCTCGGTACTGTAGCGGTCCTGCCGTCGTTTACTGCAAAATAATGCAATTGTTAATATTGTAAGTTCAAAATTAAATGTCGCTTTGAACTGCACAGCGAGGAATATTTTGTTCGCAGATTACTACAAGTCAAAACATAATCATATTAATAACATAATATAATAAATGCGAAAGTTTGTAACGATGAATGTATAGATGAATGGATTTCTTTCTTCTTTCACAAAAAACCACTGAACGGATTTAAAAAAAAAACAGCACACAGAATAAATATATCCTAACTTTAACAGTGTAAAATGAAAAAAAAATCGGGGAAGACCTTTGTAAAAGGCTAACTACACATTTACAATTTATCTTGTTATATGATAGGTTGTCCTCTGTTATAAAAAAAAAGTACACGACGTACTAATATAATTAAGGAAAATTTAAAAAGAATTATGTCCTAAAAGATAGCAAATAATGAAATAGATATTGTAGAAATAAATATATTTAAAACAGTAGGTAGAATATAAAGACTGGCAAATTAGAAAAAAAAATTACTAATCGATATAATACACTGTTTATATTTTAACTTCTTGATGGAAATTTATTATCGATAATCGAATTAAACATAAGTAGGTACTTACTATATACCTATCTAAAACCACGTTCTAAAATATTTCAAATAAAGTGCAATATAAATTTACGATAGGCAAGTACAAAACAAAGCATAATTTCATATGTGTGTCATAAACCTCAAAATAGAACATTAACGTGTGCACAATAATTGCCAACAAGATGATGTCAAAGCCATCTCATTTGTACATTGACATTCAGACAAACTGAAAGTGTAAAATGTCGAACACGGCTTTCGTCCAAAAGCATTGGCTTACGTTCGTAGAATAGACTGCGACATAAACCTACTCTGTACACAGCCAGCATCAATATTTTTTTCTATTCTACTATAGTAGTAAACAAGTATAAGACCTGTCTGATGGTAAATGGTTTACCATAGTCCAAAAACGCCTACAATGATGCTGGGATGTCACGCGCACATTGCCGACCTTTAAGAAATATTATCACTCACGCCCTTTTTAGAAAGACCCGTGCTATAGTCTCTAGAAAAAATCTCAGCAGGAATGTCATTCCACAACCTGAGCGTACGCGAGGGGAAAGCTCACCTAAACCACACTGTGCGGGGGGAAAGGGATTGTAATGGAGACTGAGAATCCCATTGCTAGCAATATACCCAACCAGATCAACCTCCTCGCGGTTCATCCTGGAAACTATCATAGTTAATTCCCGATGAATTCATCATGATGGGCTAACTGGCCTGTTTTCATTCTCATCTATCACCTTTCACTGGTGCTCCGCCAGCGTATCCCGTTAGCGCAGGCGGAGTTACCATACCATTTTCACCCATAAAAAAAAACCACACTATGCGTGACCATTTTGCTTTAAGCCCTAGACCAAAATAGTCATCCTAGACTCTAGGATATGTGGATAAATTCCTTATCGATAGTGAGAAACAATTACTTAGAATAACAGTTTCTAGGAAACTTTTAGTAATTATATGTCTCATTGTGAACTATTTAGTCTCATGACCTGTATTTGTAAATAAATAAGTACCTAGTCTATGTCGCGTGCAGCGCCAACCATAAAGGAAGGGCAAGGTCATAATAAATATTTGATAAGCAATTCCATTTATGAAATTAAAATCAATGATATATCAATCAACCATAGATAATCCGAAACTTTTTGTTATTTGATTTTATTAGGTTTAGAAAAATTTTTTAAAGGCTTCACATTAAATATGATTTTACGGATGCTACTTTATTACGATAATTTCCATGTCTATTATAATGTAGTTTATGTACTTATAAGCAAAACCAATTAGTGCGAGACAGGGCAATGACCTCTAAAGTTGCAGCAACTAATTATAGGCACAGATGGCTATATGGATCTACCATAAAACCTTATTCCAAATTTTTTACGATGCAGATTACAAACATGTTCTTAATAACAATTACTCAGGTTAAGCCATCAATACTTGTAGAGGAATAAAAATACAACATTGGTATTCTGACCAGTTAAAATTTGTTTTTACCCTAATTTGCGCTCATAAACGTTTTTATCTACAAAATTAAGGAAAACTGTACCAAGAATCAGCTTATTAATATGAATTTGACCTCTTTAAAATAAAAGTGTTTAATATAACTTATATTTTAATAATAACAATTCTTGATAACATGCGTACAATAATATATTGCATAGTTAAATACAAGCTATATCCTGCAGCTTTGCAGCTGTGAATTGACGTAAAATATCTTGTGTCAATCTAGTATATGGTCCATTTGTGTCCAGTTTATTTCAATAAAAATTATTTCATTCTTTTACTCAAATTCACTCAATTGTTTTAGCATGACTGAGTAACCAACATCCTCTTATTTAATATAAAAAAAAATCACATAGATAATATAAGTACAGTGTAAAGAAGTCCTTTCTTATGCAAAATGTTTAGAACCATTGTCCTTTTCTGTGAAGTTAGTAAGATTGAGTACAGAAATAATTTTCACATATCCCTCGTATCTGATATATCTATCTTTGGTATATTTGAGTCATCTAAATGGACATAACAACTTCACTGAATACAATAACAAACATGTTTATGTCGCAAATACTTAAGTAAAATCCAATAATAAGTTAGATATGAAAACAAGAAATGAGATACTATAGAAAATATATTAAGAATTAAGTGCTATCATTTATGGACATCTTAGTAACATAATAAAATTGTTACTGTTAATGATGTCTATACATAATTTAAGAAATTTAATATAAGATCTTAATAAGGGCAAGACAAACCAAACAAACAATTTTAAAAATACTGTCTATTCATTTGTTTTTATATGTTTGTACCAGTATATAATATAAGTATAATATGTGATTTTTACAATTGTAATCTTGAAGGATTTACTCAAAATGTGGTGTAAGTTTCATCTTGAGATGTCATCTAGGAGTGGTTGATTCCTTTGAAAGTAGTAGGTATGAAGTAGCAGATTAAAAACTAATATTGCATATGAAAAGATCATAACACTGCAGAATTTTATGTCAATTAATTTTCTAAAAATCTATGCATGTAAAGAACTGTGTGGCCGGCATAGAATGAGCCCCCCTTTCTTTCCCAAGAGGTATCATAAGAGGTGACTTAGGGAATTTAATGGTAGACGAATAGGTAGCAGTGTCTCTCTTAAAACATCACTAAAGCCTAACTGCATTTGTCAACCCAGGGGGGTTTTGTCTAGCATAGCCAAGCATGGCAACTTCTTACAAATATTCCTGAATGGCAACGCATGGGGGTATCATGGGCGAAACAGTATACTCTGTTATGTCCATAGTACTGCTCATGTCTATAGATGATAGTTACCACTTTCCATCAGGTGGGCCGTCAGCTTATTTGCTTTAATATAAATATAAATTTCCATATTGTTACTACACAACCATTGTAAACATACACTTATTATCTCTGTTCTGTAGAACAAGAGTGGCTAATGCAATGTTAATGATGAACAAGGATCTGATCGAATGCCCATCCTTGTTGAGCAAAATTTCCCTAGAAGTTCCTAATACTAACTCACATCACTTTTCAAGACTTTTTAATATTCCACTGACTCACACCCAGTATAGAAGCAATTAATAAATAAATAAATAATTATAAATTAGAAAGTAAGTTTGTTTATTACCTCTCAGCACTTTAACTCATCATTATTATTATAGATCAAATGAGGTAAAGCACTAAGCAGTATTAATCATGACTTTTTTTATTGTGAACATTGTATTATACTTTGTGACAATTTTAAAACCCTACATAAAAATAGATTTTTCCATAATAGGATACAAAAATGGAGGTGGTTCTAGAAAAACATTGACATATAGATTTTTTTATATACAATGACTATGAAATTTGATATACATGTGCTTTAAAGAATTGACAAGTACAAAGGTTACTTTTTCTCCCAGTCAGTGAACATATCCAAGTCATGTGAATAAAGTTATGGATAAAAGTTAATACATGTGTATTTGTCACCAATGCTTAAGCAATTTGATAGCTCATCAATATAGGGCCTAAACAGTTCTAAGACTATTTAAATTTTCCATTACAAGTAAATATTTCCAATATAATTTTATTAACAGTCAATGTCAGACTGTGAGTTGTCTAAACATTAGACCAATTCAAACTTTGCAGTAGATTTATTAAGGATGTCTGAGAACAATGTAAACAAAGAAACTGTAGACTGTACTTTTACTGAAGTTCAAGGCCAAATCTGTGAGATGTCGCAAGTCGCGCGCGATCTTTCAATCAAATTTACGTTACATAAACGAATGGTCAATTTTGGCCAATCGTATGAGCGATCGATAAGTTACTTCGTCTACTCAAGACGTTCAGTACGCAATATCACATGGCGATGATATAGTTAGCAACTTACCAGCAAATCTAATTTTTATCAAATCCAAAGGGTGCAAAATCAAAGTAGATGTCACGCCACCTGATATGCCAGCTACCAGGTGCTCATATTTTATATGACTGAGAAGAGCGAGCTTAGAAGACGACGAATTTGGATTCTTCATTGTAGTCATGACGTTTTAAACTAGATCACAGACAAAAATTTTTTACACATCTTGCAGGACTATAATTGAGCTATATCTACCGGCACACACTTTCCCCGAACTCGTTAAATAAATTAAATAAAAAACAGCCTTCACTTTTCATATTGCTCATAAAATTAACCCCACGAAATTACGTGCAACGACTCGACGACAATGAAACGAATGAATAGATTGAATTCGTTTTGTTCATTCAATGTTGAATGAATGAAAAATAGAGTTTCCAAATTTTGATTTGCTTCGATTTAATTAGAACTTCAATCGATTAAATGATAAAACTAAACAATTTTCAGAATTAATTTTTTTGAAGATTGTTATATACAAATTTTACTTAAAATGATCAGATCATAGTCGATTCATTTGTCTATTTATGTACATTTTTTATATTTCATTAATATTTAAATATTTGAGTAATTTTAAATGCTTTTGCTATGGTAAGTATTGCCTCAATAAAATTGGGTCGATTCTGAGATACCAGTTCTCTAATCCTAACTCTAAAATAAAATTTAAAATATCACAACAAAACCTATATTGTTAGAACTAATATGAACATAAAAATTTTTTGACTGAAGTCAAAAATATTATAAATTTAGTTTATAATAGCCCATTAAACAGTTATTATGCGAAATTATTTAATAAAAAAATATTAGATCAAGTATGTATTTAAAGAAATTATATTTCAGAATCGACTCAAATATATTATCTACATCTTTAATCGTATAATTTGTACTAATATTTTTTTATGTAACTAATATTATTTAATTGATTCCTATTATTGTGACTGTTAGGTATTAATCTCAATACTATATGACCCTGCATCATTTAAAAACGAAGAATAATTATTCTATTCCGAAATTTTTGTGCATTACACATATTTTATTTATTTTCTTGACATATTTCAAATTGAATTAGTTACAATCTTTCTCCATAAGAGGAGTTTGCCAGCAGTTATGTTTGGCACTCAAGTTGGCAAACGTAATTAGGTTTTTGGTGACTTCTAAGAGAGACACCACTACCCTCTACCATTAAATTCCCTTAGTCGCCTCTTATGAAAGAGTTAGACCGATTCTATGCCAGATCCACATGGCGGTAATACACTATCAAATAGTAAAAATGTTTTTTTAAATGCTATCCATTATTAAGTAAATTATTGACTCTGACTGAATTATTGATTCTCAATAACAAATGACGTTGAAAAATGACTGCAAGCCGAGTCGCAAAGTTAGAATCGCGCTTGCGTATAATCGCTCATGACTAACGGTCCTAGATGGTCTCGAAACTAGTCGAATAAGTTAAATTGTTAATTATTACATTAAAATATAATAAAAGTATATAAGTAATATAGTATATAAATTGTTCTTTTTGTTTTAAAATTATTATGAAACAAACTGTGCTGGTTACTTTAACAGTGGTTTATTAAAACGTAACTCGAGAATCAATAGAATTTTATCATATTATACCTAGTATTAATTTATTAAAAAGAAACAAGATGAAAGACACTCTCTAGTGTAGTCTAAAACAGAAATGAAGATCTGCAGGGCAGAAAGACATGTGATGAAACTGTCAAGTAACAAAGTAACTGGGCCCAATAGGTATATAGTAATCGATGATATTATACAAATAGCAGGGAAAAATGAATATGTTACTTCAAATAGACATAAATAGAATAAGATGAAAGAGGTTTTTCCCATAGAGTAACATATACAAAGAATACACAAACTAAGATCTTCTATTGAATTTATCATGGGGAGTGTTTTGAGGAATTGTTCGGATTGATACCTGATTTTTTTTTGATTGCTGCTGATTTTCGCCGCCGTACAACCCGTCATAAAGTTTCATCCCAACCATCTGGACGAGTGGCGGTCTTCCACCGTGCGTTTTTCAAGGCACTTACTTCCACGTACAACCATTCTTTGGAATCAACTTCCAGCAGCAGTATTTCCGAACCGATACGACATCATAACCTTCAAGAAAAGAGCATATTCCTTTTTAAAAGGCCGGCAGCACACCTGCAATGCCGTTGGTGTTGTGGGTGATCATGGGTGGCGGTAGTCACTTAGCATCAGGTGAGCCGCATGCTCGTTTGCACTCTGTGTTATAAAAAAGAAACGTAAAATATGTTAATAATTTAAAATTTGGAAACCTATGAAGTATGGAAGATAAAGCTATAATTGATTGACAAATTAATCTGTCTACGTTAATTAATCTGTTTGTCTAGTTATATGTTTGTTCTGACAAAATACTAAAAATATTATACAAAATTGGATAAGGTTTTTACAGTTAATTCCTGAATATCTAAAATATAATTCTAAAATATATTTTGTCTTGTTTAATTTTTTTTTACTTTTTAAATCCACGCGTACGTAGTTGTGGATAAAAAGTTAAGGGTACATTCTAAAATTACTTTAAAAAGGATATGGCGCTAGGGATTTATCGACAAAGTAATTTTTGTTTACTTTGTCGATAATAGCAATCCCTAGCGCCATATCGATGTTTAGATAAGCATGCATTCTCGTTTTTATTAAATGTGTCTCTACTGGCAACATTTACAATTTCATTTTGACAGGTTAACGTAACTATTGCCCATTTATTACGTAAATCAGCGAGTAGTAAAATTATAGTGCAAGGATTACAAGAAAAATGCTGAAAGTAGCGACTACATTGAGACTAGTCTCAAAACAGGGCAATCAGGTACGATGTTTAGCCACTGCCGTTGGATATAAGCAGGCGTTGGTCAATGTTCCCCCTACAAGACTTACAGTACTTAACAATGGCATTCGAGTTGCTTCTGAAGACTCCGGTGCCCCCACTGCCACCGTAGGTCTGTGGATCGATGCTGGCTCCAGATACGAAACATCAAAGAATAATGGGGTTGCGCATTTTCTCGAACACATGGCTTTCAAAGGCACGAGCAAAAGGTCACAGACCGACTTAGAGCTACTCGTTGAAAACATGGGTGCACATTTAAATGCTTATACATCACGCGAACAGACCGTATTCTATGCTAAATGTCTTGCTAACGACGTACCAGTCGCTGTAGAAATCCTTGCCGATATCATTCAAAATTCATCACTCGCCGAACCCGAAATCGAACGCGAACGAGGTGTCATTCTTCGAGAGATGCAGGATGTCGAGAGCAACCTCCAAGAGGTTGTATTTGATCATCTCCACGCCACAGCTTTTCAAGGCACACCACTAGGTCAGACTATCCTTGGACCAACTAAGAATATCAAAAAGATCTCCAAAGCTGACCTCCAGGCATACATTAGATCTCATTATCAGCCTGGTCGCATTGTGCTCTCTGGTGCAGGTGGTGTTGAACATGAAAGGTTGGTTGAGCTCGCTAATAAGCATTTCAGTGGATTGAAGAACACAGACTCTGTAGTAGAGTTGGCGCCCTGCCGTTACACTGGCTCTGAAATTCGTGTCAGAGATGACTCGATGCCATTGGCTCATATTGCCATTGCTGTAGAGGGTGCAGGATGGACTGACGCTGATAACATTCCTCTGATGGTAGCAAACACTCTAATCGGAGCATGGGACAGGTCCCAAGGTGGTGGTGGCAACAATGCCTCATACTTAGCTCGTGCTGCTGCTTCTGAAGGCTTGTGCCACTCTTTCCAGTCTTTTAACACTTGCTACAAGGACACTGGTTTGTGGGGTGTTTATTTTGTTGCTGAACCCCTAAAACTGGAAGATATGTTGTACAATATTCAGAATGAATGGATGAAGTTAAGCACATCTGTCACTGAGGGAGAAGTAGAGCGTGCAAAGAACTTGCTGAAGACCAATATGCTCCTCCAACTTGATGGCACTACACCAGTGTGTGAAGACATTGGTCGCCAGATCCTGTGCTACAATCGCCGCATCCCCATTCATGAATTAGATGCTCGCATTGAAGCTGTCACTGCCCAGAATGTGCGTGATGTTTGCTATAAATATATATTTGACCGCTGCCCTGTAATTGCTGCTGTAGGCCCCACAGAAGGTCTACCAGACTACACTAGGATCCGTGGTGGAATGTACTGGCTTAGAGCATAAAATGTTGTAGTGTACTTTTAGAATTGTTATTTAAATCATTTAACATCAAGAAAACACATTAAAATGCTCACCCAATGTTTGTTGTTTTATTAATTTAAAACACAATGTCTTGGTGATATACATGTATTTATTATAGGAAAATAAGTAAATAAAATGTGTATGTAAATAAAATCCATCTTTTTATATTGCTTTTTCTTTTATTATGTAACCTGCTTATATTTTTAATGTCTTTTATTTTTACCTGTAAATCATTAATTCACACATTTGAAGGGTATAGCAGTTCAGTGAATTCTATAAATACAATTTTTCAAAATAAGCATATTCCTTAGTGCCAATTATAAATGGCATTAAATTAAGTATTGAGGCCGTACAATATATCCTTTGATTTCTATTTAGACAATAGTTATCTTTCCATAAGACAAACTATGAGCATTTTTGCATGTAATTACGAAATTCATAGGATCAGTAAACGATCTTATACATTGTTATTGTCGAGTGAATTGCGGATCTCCGGTGACTTGAAACCTTGTTTTTTTTTTAGGTTGACAGTTGGGAGCGAAGAATCATAAGGTAAAATTTCAAAATTCCATGATATTAGTATAGGGTCGCCGATATCGATATTAAGTAGACACTATCAGTCTACAGCAAAATAATAATAAATTTGACTACTCTAGACTTGTTTCAAAAATAAATAAAGTTCCAATTTAGCGGTTTTTGCGTCGGAGAGCAAATGAAAATCATGGTTCAGCACACGAAAGTTAAAACTTTATGTATAACATCTAAGATGTAATATTTCGTATGATACGGCCTAGAAACTCTTATATAAGTAGTAGTTTAGTGACCTATAAATAACTATTTGATATAATTATCATCATCATCTCAGTCATTATTTAGAAGGGAATTTACAAATCCAACTAAGTTGGGCTGCGTTCTTGAGTGGCGACTCTGTACGAGCAAATGCATGGGTATAACAACCTCCCACTAGACGGAGTGACGTTCTTAAATGCATTGAAGGCAGTTAGTGCACGCAAACGAGTCGGGATCATTTCCTATGGCAGTTTATGGGGTAGACCCGTTCAGCAGTGGACAGATAAAGAATGTCGTCACTATCTAGTGGGATGTCGTTCTACAATGCATTACCCTTATAGGGTTGCCACTCAACACCTTTCTTCCCTACCAGTTCTTTGAGCTATATATTATTATCAGAGGGAGACTGTACAAAAGTCGATTGCTTAGGTACCTCTATCCCATTCGTGTTTCAACCGTGAAGCAGTTGTGTTTGCATGGCTGTGTTTTGGTTTGAAGGGTGGGATATGGCGTGAATTTACTGGGTACAGAGGAATAACACTTGAGTCCTCAGGAATGGCAATGCATGGGGGTATCATGGACGAAACTGTTGTGCATGGTACTGCTTATGTCTATAGGCGACGGTTACCACTTTCCATCAGGTGGGTCGTCAGCTTGTTTGCCATTCTAAGTTGTATAAAAAAACAATATATGATACTCTTGCTCACAGCTCATTGACACTTTGTTTGCTTATCCTTCGGGTTATGTCAGTGTTTTTGGTTGTTTTGCGGATATCCTCGTTTCAGATTCTGTCACACAAAAACACTCCAAGCGTTCTCTCCATCGTTCGCTAAGTAATTTGAAGCTTTTACATACGGACAATCGTGTAGGACCATGTTTCGATTCCATAAGTTATCACTGGCAACACGCATTGGTTAAAAACCTTTGTGTTCAAACTTTGAGGTACTTATACATAAACTTTGATATAATAAAACAAGTAAATCATTTCATAAATATTTTTACATTTTATTAAAACTTATTTAGACATATTTAATATTTGATAGCTTTTTTAATATAAATTACACATTAGCAGAGCCAGTGGGTTCAATTGTGGGTTTTTCTTCTTTCTCTTGCACGCTGGCAATACTGGGCTTGCGCACTGTACTGGTCTTCCTCTTTTTGCCGTATGGTAACACTGGCTCGTTGTGGCTTATTAGACTAGCAGAGGAAATAAAGACGGACACCTGTTCAGGAGTTGGGCAGGCGACTATGAGAGTATCTTCGTAGGAGTAACCAGCATTTGTGAGAGTTTGTTCAATTTGTACGAAGTAACCGACGACATTATTCTGTAAGACATTAGAATTATCTGTCAATTTAAAAAAAACAATTTTCAACAGTTTTGATTGTATATTTTAAGTGTTCTAATAGCGGACTGTCTGTTTTTAGCCGACTTCAAAAAAAGGGTTCAATTCAATTGTATTGTTTTAATGTTATATAATAATATACTTATAATATACTTTATTATTCAGACTACAATTTGGTCCATTTTGTTATTAACAGTTTTCTTACAAACTATGTAAACTTAGTAAAAAAAAACCTCCTAACTACGTCAGGTATAAACAAATTAGATTTTTTTTTATTTCCGAAACGATATACATATTGGTCCCATAGAAATTTTATAAATATCGGTTAAGTAGTTTAGTTTAAAAACAAAAAATTTTGGTTTTGTTACAATTAAAATCAGTTTGTTTTGTGGAATATAATCTTAAATTATTTTGGTTTGTGGCACTTTTTTTGCACCTTTAGTGTTGCAGTTAAAAGTGTCTCGTACGCATTGTCAACCCTGAGTAAACCTTAATACACCCTTTTAAAGAACCCCATACTATAGTTTCTAGTAGTAAACCTCAGAAGAGAGCTCATTCCACAGCCTCAGTCTTTGTAGGAGAAAAGTATGTTCACACTTACTCTTATTGGTCTGAAGAGTATAAATTCTGTCTCCTTATTTGCTAGATACAGTTGCATAGAGCGTTGTAAAGGTGCAAGGTGCATCTTGATTCTCTTCTGGGCTTCCTTCACTACTGTCGCAGTCTCCTCCGGCGTCGCCCACGGTTGGGATTTCAACTGTTCAATAGGTGTGAATGCTTGAGCCTAGAATTAGAGAAATATCTAATGAAAACAAAATTGTAAATTTCATAATCTTGCATACAATGGCTAATCATCATCATCTTTCAGCCATTATCCAGTTATCCCGAATACTTAGGGTCGGCGAAATATCTTTTTATCCATATTACTTAAGTGTATATTATTTATATACCTTACTATGGTATGCAGGTTTTAGTGGATGTAAAGTCCAAAGGCACTTAGTAATATTGATTATTTATTATTTTAAACTATATATAAAGTGACGACGTGTTATACGTGCTGAGTGGCGGGAGCGAGAGAGCTCGAACGAACGAGTCAGAGTGAATTATTACTAAACATTAAGGTTTAGGTTTTCTGTTTTACAACTGTCCCTGCCCGACGTCTACCTTCCTTGGTAATAAAATTCTAAAACATTTGGTAAAATGACGAATAAAATATATACAGGGAAGGGACAGTTTAGCCAAAATGAAAATGGCCTAAATCAGAAGCTAGACTACTTTCCCACCAGAAATGCACCACAGTCATATAATTAACGATTCATATTTTTGACGCCGCGCAATGAAATTTTTTAAATTTACGACTTAATGTGCATCACTGTCCATCACTCTACTCTAATTCTTAAAAACATACAATATTTAGAATAAAGAAATTACCTTTTCAATATAAGTAATCAGTGGTCCAGCTAATAACTCAGTAGCATCCTTAATAAACATCTCACAGCAGGCCTTTAACTGCCTATCTACTTCTTTTCTGGAGTCCAAGAGATGCTCCTTCACCATCGGTGTACCTTCTAGAAGGAACTCTAGCAATGCATTGTTGGTATTCAATGAAAATATCTGTCTGGGTTTCTGTATCAAACCGTACGCGGCATTTTTGACATTACTAAAGTCTAATACGGTTTCTTTAATTACAAAATCCACTTGGAAAGGTGCAATTTGTTCTCTCAGGATTAACAAATGTTTTATTTGGAAGAGTTCTCCATCTATGCTTGTTCTGCTCGCTGAAATCTGCTGCGCTGCATTATCTATGCTTTGTACACAGAGTGATATCGCCTCTTGGGCTAATCCTTGGAACACTTTCTTTTCCAGACATCTGTATAGTCTCGAAAGTGCTGCTAATGTCCTTCTCACTGCTGGATACCACATGCCGTGAAGATCAGCTGGGGAGGCTTGGGGCCTTCGTTGGGCGTCCACATTGATATTGGCTACTTCTTGGGAAGTAGCAGAAATGTCAGATACCATTGAGTTGCGGGAATCGCTTCGTTTTAAACTCTGCTCTTGGATGGATAACGCGATTTGCTGAAAAAAAATATACAGCTTTTATTATTGAAATATTGTCTAATTTAAGGGTATAGGCAATTAAAATATTAGATATCCTGAATGCTGGTTTTTATAGGGTTAAAAATGGAATGGTAACCCCACCTGTACTATTGGTCTACGTTGACAAAGTACCAGTGCGGGACAGATGAGAAGTAGTCAAACCAGTTGATTCGTCGTGATGAATTTATCAGGAAATAACTATGACAGTTTGCAAGGAGAAATTGCGTGGAGATTGACCAGACAGAAAATACTTCCAGTAAACCCATCTCGAGGGGCGAATTTTTTATAATATCAACAATCTCCACTATTTATGATTACAAATTGTTACGATATTATACAGCACGAGAACTGCTCGTGCTGTATAATATCGCTCGTGCTGCTGCGTGATCCCAATAAATACACATGGAATTTTGGATAGACAGCAATTCATACAGCTGATGTAGCATAACGTGCCCAGTATTGACGTCGACCAGACCGTGTGATGGCATCAACGTGACTTCAACAATAGACAATTTTTACTATTAGCAATATACCTAACCAGGTCGATCTCCTCGCGGTCCCCCCTGGAAACTATCATGGTTAATACCTGACGGATTCATCATGATGGGCTAACTGGCTTGTTTTCATTCTCATCTATCACCCTTCACTGGTGCTCCGCCAGCGTATCCCGTTAGCGCAGGCGGGATTACCATAGCATTTTCATCCATCAAAAAATGTTTTTTTTTTTATATTTATATATACGAGGTTTGTCCGGAAAGTACGTATAAAAGTTTTTTAAAAATTTTATTTTACAATTATTCAGGTAAATCAATTTTATCCCCTTCAAAGTACTCCCCCTGTGACATAATGCACTTGTGCCAACGCCGTTTCCACTGTGAGAAGGCTCCTTGAAAGTCCTCTGGTTGTAGGTTTCTCAGCTGCCCCGTCGTAGCTTTTTTTATCTCATTTATGTCCCCCAAATGCCGCCCCCGAAGTACCAATTTGGTTTTTGGGAACAAGAAGAAGTCACACGGGGCCAAATCCGGCGAATAGGGGGGTGTTCGGTCACCGTAATGGAATTTTTACTCAAAAACTCACGGACAACAAGAGAGGTGTGGGCAGGGGCATTGTCGTGGTGAAGAATCCAACGCCCCTCTCGCGCCAATTCTGGACGAACTCGTGCCACACGAGCTTTGAGGCGTCTGAGCACATCGACGTAGAATTTTCCATCAACTGTCTGGCCTGGAGGGACGAATTCTTGATGGACAATCCCCCGAACATCGAAAAAAACAATCAACATTGTCTTGACATTTGAGCGGGATTTTCTTGATTTTTTTGTTCGTGGTTCCCCGGATGTCTTCCACTCTTTGCTTTCACGGCCATTCTTGCCGAGTTTCGAGAGAAACTTGATTACGACGCGCTGCTCTTCAACGGAAGCGGGCTCCATGCCGACGGGGTTTCGTTAAGAGGTAACTTCACAGATGGCGTGACAAGCCAGTTCGCACCGCACGGCGGTCAGACCAGAACTGAAGCATTGTTAGGGACATAAGGAAGGGGTCCTGCGCTTACCTGGCCTCCCCACTCCTCTTTCTCGCATTCCAGAACACTTTTATACGAACTTTCCGGACAGACCTCGTACATATCATTATGTCATGTTGTCAGTGCAGGTATTTTGACCCGTTCTCCTTCCCTATTACTTTAAAGATCACCTAGCGAATTTAATTAAACGCAATTTGAATAGGGAGGTGGGTAGGTAGTTTTTTTTAATGGATCAAAATGAAATAGTGATTCTGCTTGCGCTATTGGTATACACTGGCAGGGCACCAGTGAAAGATGATAGGTGAAGATGAAAGCAAGTCAGTTAGCTCATCATGACAAATCCACGAGAATTAACCATGATCGTTTCCAGGGGGTACCGCGTGGAGGTCGGATATTTTTTTATATTGATGGGTGAAAATGGAATGGTAACCCTGCCTGCGCTAACGGGATACGCTGGCGGAGCACCAGTGAAGGGTTATAGATGAGAATGAAAACAGGCCAGTTAGCCCATCATGTTGAATTCATCAGGAATTAACCATGATAGTTTCCAGTGAGAACCGCGAGGAGCTCGACCTGGTTGGGTATATTGCTAGCAATGGGATTCTCAGTCTCCATTACTAACAATCCCTTCCCCCCGGTAGGTGAGTAGTGGTGGGTAGGTGGAGGCAGGCGGTACCTCCATCATCTCGAGCTTGTCGGGGTAGGCGAGGTCGCCGGGCGCGGCGCGGTAGTGCAGCACGTCGGCGCGCAGGTGCACGTGCGCGCGGAACACGAGCCGCTCCTGCGCGTCCTGCAGCAGCGCGCGCGCCGCGCCGCCCAGCGCGCGCAGCGCCTCGCGGGCTGCACACCACGTACGCACTTGTTCATATTTTATTTTTATATATAGGTGATAATGAAATAGTAACCCCACCCGCGCTATCGGTATACGCTGATAGGGCACCAGTGAAGGATGGTAGACGAGGATGAAGCAGGTCAGTTAGCCCATCGTGACGAATTCAACGAGAATTGTTCACGGTGGTTTCCAAGGGGGAACCACACGGAGGTTGACCTGATAGAGTCTATTGCTAGCAATGAGGCTGTCAAACTCCATAGCTAACAATCCCTTCCCCCCAACACATGTTCATATTAGAGGGAGACTCTGTACAAAAGTCGATTGCTTGGGCACCTCTGTCCCATTCGTGTTTCTACCGTGAAGCAGTTGTGTTTGCATGGCTGTGTTTCGGTTTAAAGTGTGGTATATGGCGTGAATTTACAGGGTACAGAGGAATAACACCTGAGTCCTCAGGAATGGCAACGCATGGGGGGTATCATGGGCGAAACAGTATACTCTGTTTTGTCCATGGTACTGCTCATGTCTATAGGCGACGGTTACCACTTTCCATCAGGTGGGCCGTCAGCTTGTTTGCCATTCTGAGTTGTATAAAAAAAAGTGTACATGGCGGACTTAATGCTAAAAGCATTCTCTCCCAGTCAACCATAGGGAAGTGTCAGAATACTCGAATGCAGTACTAGTAACTATTGAAATACATACATAATAAATTACATATATAAACGAATAAATATATATAAATAACAAATACACTTACACATATATGACATATACTGTATTATGCACGAAATTGAGAATAAAATAAAGTACTTACCTACTGCTCGGATAAAGTAAAAAAGTAAGCATGAATATTTTTTTTTTTAAAGACGGTTTAGTCGGTAGTCTCTTAATGGTATCAGGAAGCGCGTTCCACAGTCGTGAAGAATGTAGGAGAAAATAATTTGAAGCGAAGCCAGTACCCGTTTATATTATACTCCTCCGTAATGTTAGTTACCTTATGGCTATTCTATGTACTACTATGCCGTAGGTGTTGTGGGTAACCATGGGCGGCGGTAGTCACTTACCATCAGGTGAGCCATGCTCGTTTGCCCCCTGTGTTGTAAAAAAAAAACTGCTACCACTGATAGACGCGGCTAATGCTTACGCGATGAGTTTTGCTTTCAGGGACATGTCTCTCATCTGTACAGACATTACTTATTTATATTATTATATTAACCGTTGACTGTTCACTGCTGAGCATAAGCTTTTCCCATAAGGGAAGATTTGCCAGTCCATAATTTAGCAGAAATCTACGTCCAGCAGTGGACTGGTGGTGGCCAATAATGACGAAGTTGGACGAGTAAATAAACCGGTCGTGACTAATATATATATATATATATATATATATATATATATATATTAATTAAAAAAAACACTCACGGTCAGTATTAACTTGCTCCTCGATAACTTCTACACGCAATATGACGCACAATTCCGCGAGCGTCTCCAAATGATTAATGTGAATGATATGGGGTCGTAGTGTTTCGTACAGTCCGTTGCATAGTGATTGGAGATATTCCCTGAAAACATATTTAATTGTGTTTTTAGAAACGTTATGTAATGCATTAAAGTCTAAAATTAAACAATACAAGTATGGGCGACCTCACATACCGCATTGTTATTAATGCGGACTACCTCCTATTGCTAGCAATATGCCCAACTAAGTCGACCTTCACGTGGTTCTACCTGGAAACCATCGTGCTGAATTTCAGGTGAATTTATCACGATGGACTAACTGGCTTGCTTTTTCATTCTTACCTATCATCCCTAACTGGTGCCCCGCCAGCGTATACCGTTAGCGCAGGCGGGGTTACCATACCATTATCATTTATTAAAAGTCCTCTCATACCTATTTGCATGCCAATAATTTTAATAACAATAAAGCAATTTAAGGATGGTTTATTTTTAAAACCTTTATAAAAATAATGAAATACGAGTAGCAACATCACGAAAGTGTAAGAATAATCCTCACATGTTTTTGGTCCTTCGAGCTAAGTTGTTATCAGTTACTATATCTTTTTTTACTAATGAAGGGTCCTTCGATTGATCACGATCACACCTGATGGAAAGTGATAATGTGGCCTAAGATTGGATTTGCTGGCCCACAAATAGTCTACTTAGCGTAATATTATATTGATGATCGCCAAAGCGTGTAATTACATGTTGGATTTACTTAAAATTTATGTCTACAAACAAGATTTTGTTCAGTAAAGGAAACATAACAGCTTCAACCATGCCAAAATTAAATATGAAACTGTGACCGAAATAATATCCTACACATTACAATAAGTATTATTAAAATCTATATGCTGTTGAAGGTATCATGTAAAAAGCAGATGTGACAAATCAAAATTTCTTTCCTTAGGAAGTCCCTTAAAAAATCAAACAACTACCTAATGTAATAAGGAACAACAACATGGTCTTCTCTTGCCCGCCGGATGATGTGTGGGCGGACGAGGTAAGGGCCTCGGGGCATACCCTATTACCTCGGCTTCAACTCCGGAGGCGACGACCTCCGGGTCACTGGGTTTTCAGCCGGCATACACTGATGGGAGTTTACACAAAATAAAGCAACTCACTCGAGCGCTGGCGAGGTGCGCTGGAAGAAGTGGTCGTAGAGGGCGCACTCGTCGCGGCAGGCGTGCGCGAGCAGCGAGCAGGCGGCGCGCAGCAGGCCGCAGTGGTCGCGCCGGTGCGCGCGCGCAGCCGCCGCCAGCGCCGCCGCCGCCGCCGCACCCGCCACGCGCCCGCGCCGCTCGCTGTACGCCTGCTGCACCTCCGACAGCACGTGCGCGTACCTTACCGTAATTAGTAACCTCTTTTTATTTATACAACTTAGAATGGCAAACAAGCTGACGGCCCACCTGATGGAAAGTGGTAACCGTCGCCTATAGACATGAGCAGTACCGTGGACATAACAGAGTATATTGTCTCGCCCACGATACCCCCCATGCTTTGCCATTCCCGAGGACTCAGGTGTTATTCCTCTGTACCCAGTAAATTTACGCCATATCCCACCCTTCAAACCGAAACACAGTCATGCAAACACAACTGCTTCACGGTTGAAACACGAAAAGGACAGAGGTACCCAAGCAATCGACTTTTGTACAAAGTCTCCCTCTGGTGAGTAAACATTATGTTAATAGTCGGCACTGCCTCTATACTGACGAAATTGGAACACGAATCTGTGTAATCACTAGAGTTGTCAATGCAAAAAAATAAATGTGAATCGCTGTACACGACGCACTTTTGACAGCATGCGCGCGTATATTACAAAACGGCAAGTAAACAATACAAAGTTTTTAGTAGTAGGTTTATACTCTAAGTATTCTATGATTAACATTTGTTAAAAAAGTATTTTTTAAATAATCAATCAGAAACATTGAAAATTTTTCGATTATTTTTGAAAATTACAGATAATTGCGACGTTGCTATACCTTGGTATGCGCTAGTATAAATTCTTTTAAATAAAAATTACTTTATAAAGAAATTGTAAAATATGGATTTCGATAACTAAAAGCTGATAACTTACTTTTTGTAAAGCAAATCTTTAATGATTTATAAATTTTACACTTTTTATCCCTTGCAGTAAACACATACCGGTTACGCAAACGACTGCGACTTGCAGGTAAAAACCAGTAAGTGTAAAAAATACTTACTCTGTATTTACTTCTGCCCTCTTTTCTATTTCACTTATAACTAATTTCAATTTCGGCGCAGCAGCTTGAAACTTGCCAAAGTACACAGCATATGCTGTGTCAATTGTCTCTTGGTCTGTCTGATCCTCATCTGTAGGAGATAGCACTTGTTCCGTGGCATGGTTTAGCACATGAGTGACGTAAGACCGGATAAGCGAAATAGCACGATTTTGTAGATGCCTGTACTTGACTAGGTAGGTATGTGATTCCTTGAAGGTGTTCTGAAATTTTCAAATTATACACTACTAATCATCTACTAACCACCAACAAATGCATTCCCAAAGAGGGTTGACGTCAGGCAGGCGGCCGGTCGTAAAACTATAAGCCAAATCTTTTTGTAATAAGGATAAAACCATATTACGCCGACCCCATATAATAATTGGGATAAGGGTTGGGAGATGATGATGACACATTTACTAATAATGTAGATATTAGTGTAGCTCAACCTATTTGATTTTAACAGTTGGTTGTTGGTTTTAACAGAATGGTGGATATAATTTTATTCAAATTTATAATAGAATACCGAAAAAAATAAGAGAATTGCCGTTAAATTATTTTAAATTAAAATTGAAAACATGATTAATAGAAAATATTTTTTACAATATTAATGAATTTTTGTAAGCTATAAATGTATATATTAATGTTGTGACATTGACTTAGTTTGAAATTTAAATTGTAATTTTAATTTTATTTGACATTTCTATCATTTTTATTATTTATTGGCTGCTTATAATGCATGACCAAAGTGTGCACTTAGTACTAGTAGTGATTTATTGTATAATGTAGTAAATAATTGAAAATTAAATATATAATTTACCTGTATAAAATGACCTATCTGTAGATAAATTCAATAATTAATATTTGCATGCCATTTGATGTGGCGAAACATAATGGACATCTTATAAACTTCACAAATGCAACACCTTTTCTACAATGTTACTAGCAAATAAATTTCATTTCATCTAGGGGTCTACACCAACTTTTTATGGTTGCAAGTTCTTGACAACAAGTCATTTATTAAATCCAAAACTGTATATTTATTTATACCTTTGCACACATTAAACTATGCCTACAGGATGGATTTAATGCTTAATGACATTCTCTACCAGTCTACCGTTATGTCAAACAGAGAGAGTAATTGTCAGTGTATGGATTTAACAAACTCAATTAATATATTCAATTATTTATTGTGATTATTTAGACAATGTGAGCAAAGATAAACTCATATCTAAAAGAGATTTGTTACCCGAACACAATAGCATAGGATCAAACCTATCATTCAGTCTAGAACTAAACATTCACATTCACAAAAATACATTAAATTTATTTAAACAATGTCTAAATATAGTGATACATGAATTTTATATTATTAAATTCATCAATAATAAATAATTACTATAGACTAGTAAGCATAGTACATTATTTTTTCATGTTTTACTTACATTATTTTTCATATAGTCCAAGCATTCATCAATCTTTGCAAGAACAATGAAAAATGTCTCACTGTTCACAGACATTGTGGGGCTATTCAGTCGTTGAGACAAGTGCTCCACTTGTGTAAAATAATGCAACCTGTTTTTTATGTCTTCACCTATAAAAAACACAAACATGAAAATCATTAATAAAATAAATAAATTAGTCTACAGTCACATTACAAAATGAATATTATTACTAAATAAAGTTATGATTAAATTAACAGAATTTAATGTCTTTAAAAAGGGAGTTAAACCCAGTTGTATATAAATTAGAATAGGATTTTGTTCATATAATCAACCGATGTAAATGAACCAGTTTATTAACATTATACCCTGAGCGCAAGAGGCTCACTAAACATGGCAGATTATGCTAAGCAAATCCTATCATGATTCAAGTGAAGTAATGTTTTTTTTAGTGGATTGTAATGGTTTGGTATCCCCATCTGTGCAACAGGTACACCAGTAAATGTTAATAGATGAGGATGAAAAGGCAGGTCAGTTATCCCACTGTGATAAATTGAACACAATGGTTTCCAGGGGGAACCGCATGGAGGTCGACCTAACAGGACATATTACTAATAATGGGGCTACCAGTCCCCATTACTAAGAATCCCTTCTCCCCCCCAATAAAGTAATGTTCTGAACCTCCAAGACTTTTTTAAGGTTAAAATATAAACAATAAATTAAACTTACCAATGCTGGACAGTTTATTTTGATCAGCCAACAGTTGCTCACTCATTATATGTAATGCATTTGTTTTATTTGAGACTAACTCATACTGTTCGGACAATTTATTCAAATCTGCCATTGTTGCATCAATCTGGAAGAGGAGTAGTATGGGAAAGAATAAATAAAAATTTTCTTTAACATTTCTCAGTATTTAATACAATAACATGTCAAAGCAGCTTTTGCCATGCGTAAAGTTAGACAGTACACTGATACTGATACTGCTAGATTAGTCTATTTTAGTTATTTTCATAGTTTACTCTCTTATGGAATATTACTATGGGGAAAAGCGGCAGATATTAAGAATATATTCATATTACAAAAACGTGCCGTTCGAGCGATCTACTGTATGAAGAGTCGTGACTCATTAAGAGAGAAATTCAAAGAGGCAAATATTCTCACCATTGCTTCTCAATTTATATATTCAAATATATGTTGTCCTATATGTTCATAAAAATCTTGACTTATTTCCAAAAAACAGCAATATTCATAATATTAATACTAGATTTAAAGACAAACTTGCTGTCCCCAAGTATCATTTAGAAAAAGTTAATAGGTCTTTTATGGGAATAGGTATAAAAATTTACAATAAGATACCAAAGGATATGTTGGAATTACCCTTAAATAAATTCAAAACATCTGTTAAATCATATTTACTGAGCAAAGCCTATTACTCACTAAACGATTACTTGAATGACGAGTGTGCATGGCAATAGTTGTTCATGCACTGAATTTTCATTTAATGTTAGACATAGACACCTATATAAATATACATTGTAAATAAACTGGCTTAAAAAAAAAAGTAATTCAATTGAGTTTCTTGCCAGTTCTTCTCAATTGGATCTATATACCGAACTGGACGGTAGGGAAAAAAATAAAATTATAATGTAAAAATTTGACGTTCATAAGCGGCTAAAATGTCCTACATGAATAAATAATTTTTTAATTTTGAATTTTTTGAAAAAAGTTGATGTTACCATTTTCTATCAAATTGGCTGTAAGCATGTTTGTCATTTACATTTTTAAAAAATGTTCTTTAATAAAGAAATAAATATCTAAATTTCTTTACAAAATTTCAATTTTAAATTTAAAATATTTATAACAAACCTGATCTGTTAATGAAACACACTCATTTCTTCTTTCTTCCAACTGTTTGTAATATGTTTCATATGGTGCATCATCAGCCTTTATAGTATTATTACATAAACTCTCATACCATTCCAGAAATTCATATGTTGTATCCACAGAAGGGACTAAAGCATTTTCTTTATTATTACTTAATTTTGTTTGAGGTTTTTCCTAGAAGAATATTGAAAATCAAGAAATAATAATTCATTTATTGCCTTTAATTGGTTTTATTATAAGAGGCACATGTAACACATCTGCCTACCTGTCTTTATGACTTATAAACATATAAACGAGCTCCAGCTCGACATATATATATATCCATATATATATGTAAAATATTGATACATTTAGTTATTTATTAAAAACTTATTAGGTAGAATTTTGTTAATAACTACATCAACTAGATTAAAAATAGTAAAAAAATTATACAAAATTTGGCAATAGGCTAGAGCCCATAAGTTTATAAATACTGAATTATTTTTACAGTGGTCTTAATTCTTTATGATATTACAATAAAATCAAGGTATAGGTACAAACTTCTTTGACTTCATTTGATCCACCGAGTATAAGTGCTTCTAAATCGAGTATTGCTTCCCTTTGGTCTGAAGTAAGTGGAGCCAAAGCATTGTCTGAACCTTCCCAAAGCAACAATTTGCTTTGTATTTCTTTTAAACTCATATTATCCATATTTAAATAAATAATTAATACTTTGTATTAGTTAAAAGCCTATAATGTTGACATTATGTTATGACATGGCTCTATGACTCTGACTCACTTCGACACTAAAGTGACAGTAACACAGGGTAAGTAATAACTGAAAATGACATAAAAACGTCATCAACGTCAAAATTATTATGAATCCCTTCAACGGTCATAGCATAGATAAAGAACAGTATTTACCCAAAATAAAACGTAAAATATAGATAGGATACATGTATGGTCTCAGATATATACATACATCTACTTACAATTTGTTTCAAAGGCTAACTCAATTGCTTCTGGAGCGCGTTTTAGCATAGAGTGGTCCTTTTTAATTATTAGAATGTTTGCTGTCAGTTTACAATTTTTCTATTTAGAACATCGTTGATACTACCGTAGATCATCAATAGATGGCGTCGGTCACAAATTGTTTAGGACTATAATAGAGTATAAATAGATGGCGATGTTAGCACCAAATATTCGTCTTGTTGGATTCGAAATTTAAACTAAAAAATAATAATTATGTAGTAAGTATATATTTACCTAGTATTTTTTTACTTTATATTCAGAATTTAGAGTACGTAAGTACTACCACAGATAATATAATACCTATTACCTATACTCATTATGTAATATTTTCCAAGATAGTAGCAGTTGGTGTGTTTCATGACCATTAAACAAACTATTTGTATACCACAAAAATTTACGAGCTATCTATATATATTAATGGGTTAAAAGATGATCTTTCTTGTAAGATTTTGGAATTTAAATAAGTATTATAATCTATCCTTTATTTACAACTTTTAAAAGTAAATTCTAAGACATATTGCAAATATTATATAAGTAGGTAGGTAGGTTCTTATCATTTTTAAACTCTAACTACCTATACGTTAAGATGATTGGGAGTAAGCAGAGAAAATAGAGAATTATTGAATTATTTCTGAAGCGTTATTTCTAAAATTCCAGTTATTACAATGAAATTATTATTCTCAACATAAAGAAATTGTAGAATTTAATCAAAGTACCTTCACATCGAGTTTTGTGGTTCGTAGTGTAAGACTTTGTTAAACTATGACATTAAAATTTCAATTGAGAAACAAATTTAGAGAATGATTCTGGAAGCACCATTTCTCTAAAATTATCTCTTAACCTAACATTTTAATGTTGATAGTTTCGCGAAATTTCTATTTTATGGACCGTCATAAATAAAATTTATAATAGTTTTGACTTAAATCTATTACAAATTTAGTTCATATTGGCCCTTAGAGTAAAAATTTCACTGTAATATGGAATTTAAAGTTTAAAGATGAATTTTGAGAAATAGCTACTCAGAATCGACCCTGTGTCGCCTTAAAATCAACTCTATTGTTAAATTACTTGTTTAAAGTTGTATAACTATGTATACTAAGTATATAAATTGGACTAATAATTTAAACACCAAACGATGGATCGTATGTATGGCGATATCATATCCGATTTTGTACAAAAGGTGGAACCTTAAACTTCTAGTTTCAATTGATCGAAACGATAAATAGCTCTGTGTGAACTGCTCAATTTCTTTTTATTTATATGTAATGTATGTAATAGTTGTCTATAGGTATTTTTCGGGATAGGATCGGGTATGTATAGGGTATGAATAATTAAGTCATAATAATAAAGACACGTATTAATAGTTTTGTATTTATTTATTGGATATGAGGAACCTTTCTGTTCAACATAAGCTACAATGGACATTCTCTGTATATAGTATATTTACACATTCAGTATCATATAATTCATATCTATATTAGGGTAATGCTTGTAGGAGCTAATTACTGTATATTCACAATAATTACGATGACCTAACTTCATCTATACACATAGTAGCGTTGTACAAAATATTAATCTATAGTTAAAATAGTCACACTCGACTCGCTGGGACATCCAAACTTACTTTGGCATTCAACTCCGCCTATAAAACACTCACTCTTGCACTTTCCAATCCATACATTGTCACCAGCGCTTTGTTCGGCTCTTTAGATAACAGTGAAGCTAGTATTAAATACAGCAAATATTTAACTTATATATTTTAGATATATATCGCATTTACTGCTATCTTGTCTGTAAACAGACCAAGGGATAAGTCTCCCTTCATCACATTCGTTCATTATGTACATCATTCCTTATTCACGTATCTATTACAACTTGTACTATATACAAACAATTTAATTATTAAAAAAATACAATGTTAAATTGCTATAAACGTCTATTAGTGATACAGCTGATATACTTAGGGCTGGAATAAAAATAGTTTTTTTTTTTATTTCAGCGTGCAAAATCCACTAAAGCCAGCAATCGCACGAGTTCTTGTTCTCGCAACTATACGATCATTATCTATTAATTACTTCTTCAGTAAAGGTTTAAACATTAATTGCAGATTGAATACATTTCCAACATTTATCATTTAAAAATGTAACACGTAATTAAAATTATAAACTAAACGAAAACGGCACACAACACATTCAGAATCGACAGATCATTAAACTCCGACAGACCAGGAACGCTTTCAAATTAACAATAACACAGATGTAAAACTTGATAAATAACTTAGATATATAAAAAATATAGAAAATAAATTAACACACCACAGTCATTGTTCAATGCGCATAATATTATACTCAACAATTGTATTACATTCATAATAAACCACACGTCTTATAAGATATCTTATATGGAATAATATGTGGATAGCGTATACACCTAAACGATAACAGAATAAAAACTATAGACGACATACATTGAAACACTAAAGACTCGTTGCTGAGATGCGTAGCAAAAGCATGGCAGTTAGCACGAAATTCTGCACCCTAAATATTAATTAACTGAAAAATATACGTCTATGAATCAGAGAAGCATAATATAGAAGGCTCATCGTGTGCGGGGCCCGTCCCGGCGAATACAATGAGTGGACGGGGCCGCGCTAGTGGCGATGCGCTAACTAGACACTTGTGTGATTTACATCGTACGGCGAGACGCGGTCGCGGCAGGGCAGCGGTCGCGGTCGCAGCATCCCTCGGCGCCCGACCAGTGTACTTACACTCATTCCTTGTTAACCTACGAATTAACATAGCACAGCCAAAGTGACTCCGTGGGTCCCGCGTGCAGCGCGCAGCGGCCGGGATCGCGCGCCGAGGGGGGAGGCCTTGGACCTCGTGGCCGGCGGGGGCCGGCGGTCATAATCAGGTGCGCCAGCCCGGCGGTCTACGAGACCGGCGGCTGCGGGCCCTGCGGCTGCGGCGGCGGCTTAGTGCCCGCCGCTGGCAGTTGTGCCAGTGTGTCCTGGCTGGCGTGTGCGCGCAGGAATGTGTTCTCCACTTCGAGCTGGTTGATCCTTTCCATCAGTTCAGCGATGCGCTCCTTCAGAACTTCCACTTCTTCGCGCACCGCGAACATCAAGTGACTCTTGACCAGATCCTGTAACAATATAAAATTGAATTTTACTTACATAATTAATAAATAAAAATACAAGAAAAAGATTTCTGAACACTGATCATAAATACAAATTGAGGAATATAGAAGAAACACTGAATGTAGTCAATAAAACATTTATAGAAATAATCCGCGATTAAGAAATAAATTACACGACAAAACCTTAATACGTCAAAAGAAATATTAAAAATGTAAGATGGCAACGTACATTAGTGTCAGGCACGACAACGTAGCAGGGATCTTTTTGTCCCTTTTGTCTGATCTCATAGAGGCAGCCATCTCGTGATTGTTGCACCACGTCGATCATATTTGAACGTTATTCTAATTTTTCAGGGTCACTAATAAATAATATGTGCGCAACCGGCAACGACTGAAGCGCGACTAGTGATAATAATCGGCTGCGAGAGCAAGTAGCGCTTGCGCGACCAAGCAGGCGACTGATGGTCTGCGCGCGCACACGGCCTATTTAAAATGGCGGCGCACACGTCATTGCCACGCGGTTCATACATGCACCCTGAACTCGACAACACAACCTACATCGATAACCGAGCCCTAACTTTATAGATTATGTTTAGTAAAATACATCAAAACAGAACTGTCAAGAAGAATAATGATCTTCAAGTAGAACAGGAACATGTCAACTGTTTAGGAGTAAACAAAAAAGGTAATTATCTTAATGTGAAGATTTTTGATCATATAAATTAATATGTACTAATTATTATCGATTATTATTAAGAAAATAATACGCTGAAATTGTGCAAATTACTAACATTCTTGATATTTCGAAAGAGTGTATATAATTGCTTTATATATGATAGTTTCAGCGGCACTAAGCATGCGGATACGTATGTAGTAATTGACGTTACTCTCCGTTAAATTGGAGCAAATAAAAAGTCTATCTCAAGAGAACTTGCTACGTGCACGTTTAATTATCACAGTTCTAAGAATTCAGAAATAGCCATCATAAAGATCTAAGTAAAAAATCCATATAAAGCATACTTAGGTTCGAAATACAAAGCACGTAGCTTTGAAATATTACTATCCAAAGTCCACAAAGGCTAAAATTAGATATATGAAGTCGTAGCGAGGAGCCCCGCTGCGATGTTTAGGCCACTTATGATGTTTACCATGATCAATTAAGGTTCATTTGTGTTTATTAAAATATCTTAATTAAAAAAGTATCAACAAATATTATTGTGCTTATAACGTACATTATAAATAGTGATACCAAAAAAATATCAGCTCTTATCTCATTGGCAAACTCAAGGAGATGAAACTTATTACGTAATACGGTTTATCTATTCAATAATTTATAAATAATTAAAGAATCCATAGCGGATCATACGAGTAGCAGAAATATTGACGTAATCAATTGCCAAAAGAATATATACAATAGAATATAAAAATATATTTCGAAATTTTAGTTGCAAAATGATAAATATATCAAACAGAGAATGTAGATTAAACGAATGAGATATTTTCTGTTACGCCTACAGAAGTATGTGAGTATGTAGAGACATTTTAAAAGCGTGTATTTTCAATTTTCAAATGAGTCAAGGTATACACTTAGGACACACTAAAAGTGGCATGAGCTGATTTGTCTGGAGTTATA